AGCTGCCCTCAGGGGCAGGGCGCGTGAGCCTTAGGGCCCAGAGAGGGTCCGTCAGTCTAGATCTTCTAGAAGACAGGTTCCAAGGCCAATTAGAGGTGTCAGAGGTTTATTGAGGAAAGCACTTGTAAAGATAAAGGGAGGGAGCTAGAGTAAGCAAGAAGAGCCTTTTGATCGTGGAGGATGTGTAGGAAGAGCCGCGGACTGCCATGCAGCTCTGAGAATGCCGTGGTGTGGCCCGGAGTTGAGACAGCCCTTCAGAGGAGCCGTGCGTGGGGCTGAGCTAGCTAGCGTGGCTCCGGGGTCCCCACTGTGCCCGTCACCGATGGGCAAATACGCTGCCTGCAGATCTGAAGGTGCAGCAGCTGCAGGCCGTGGGGGAGCGACACTCCCAGCAGCTGGTTCTCTTGGAGGCGAATATGAGCGAGGTGCCTTCCCGGCAGCTGCAGAGAATACGTCCAGCCCAGCCCAGCGAGCAGGTGACAAGTTCACCAGCTGGGCTGTGGCCGTACTAGGCTAACCTTGGGGCAAGCTTTAAACCCCAAGGAATTTTATAGGATTTCTAAGGGGACTTTGCCAGATGAATGAAAGAATAAGGATGCACGTGAAGTCAGGCAAAACCAGGGGGTCCTGGGGGGGATGGCACTGACCTGGGACCGACACCCTGACATCACATTTCCTTTCTGCGGCTGCTCGCTCACGTCCTCAGACAAGTCGTTTCTCCGCTCCAGGAGCTGGTCTTCACCACGGCGAGATGGGGGTGCGAATACCTCACTCAGGCCTTCCCTGACCAGACCCCCAAACAGTGGGATGAAGGGGGCAGTGTCTCGGTCTCTGGAAAGATGGCCCGGCTTCGTCCAGAGGCTCCCGTTAACCACGCTTTTCCCCTGGAGTACCCAAACGGCAGAAAATTATTCGCACCGTCCCCGAAGCTCAGGATAGCACAGACTATCTTAATATATGCTCACGTTTTCTCATGTGTGTTTTATCTCAAAAATATACATGAAAGCCCTGGCCAGCAAGGTTCAGTTGGTTGGCTGTCATCCCACAAACTGAAAGGTCTCAGGTTTGACTCCCGGTCAGGGCACAGGTCTGGGTTGTGGGCTGTGGGCTTTGTCCCCAGTTGGGGCACTTGCAGAAAGTGGGCAGTCAGTGTTTTTCTCTTGCACTGATGTTTCTCTCCTTCTCCCTCCCTTCCCATCCCCCCCCCCGCTCTCTCATAAAACACACACACATGAAAGGGTCAATATAGCGTGATACATACTTTGGAGCCGACAACTTGAGTTTAAATAAAGCTACGCCCACTGAGGGCTGCCTCTCTGGCCCTCAGTTTCCTCATCTGTAAAATGGGGATGACAATAGCACCTACTTCAGAGGGTTATTGTGAGAATTAAATGATATATATCAACTATTTAGAACAGAATCTGTTCTATTAACTGTTATGTGAATTTGTCATTTTATCCTTGTGTTACCTGTTTACCCAAGTTGGTTTTTTAAATGGCCTACTGGCAGGTAGAACTGACCAGTAACAAACAAAAGAAAAGAAAAATAAAGAGAGGCCACATAACTCACAGGTCTTGGAAGAGCGTGGCACGTTGAAACGGCAGGGCACAAAGGAGAGGAAAGAACTGTGTCCGAAATTTCTCCATCCCAAGGCTACAAGCCACTGTCACGTCTCTGCCATGCCGTGGGGTTTTTTGCTCCCAGATGCAGTCCAAGTTCACATCAGAAAGTAGAGGATTCAGTTCCGGTGCCAGAGGCCAGGGTGGGGGAGGGTGTTGGGACACCTCCCCTCCCACCCCCCCACCCTCTCCCTCACCTTAGTCATGGTCCATTGGCTACAAACCAGTATAAGCAGCTTTGGTACCGCTGGCCTTTGGACATTATAAAAACTTCACAGTGAGACCAAGACATCTCAGAACAGAGTTTCCATGACGTTGCCCAGTAGGTGGCCCCAAGGTCCCTGAAGGAATCTGCAGGATGGGAGGTATGAGAAAGGAGAGAGATGGGGAGTCACACTGGCCCTTATTTCTGCTGCCTGGGCAGGAAGGTGGGGGACTGGAGGCCAGAGAATCCAGGAGGCACAGTGGGTCTCAGATTGGCCGGAGACAGGGGAATGATTAAGATAAACTTGGATGAGTTATACCGGGCTGGTAGGGGTATAATAGTGTGTGGGAGCTAACCCGAATCAAACCACTGGCCCAGTCCTATCAGCCCTGAATTCAGTCACTTATTTATAGGCACAGTTATTGACATGACATCCACTTAGGGCTGGGGGACACCAGAATGAAACTGGAGAAACTCCTCTGGGCTATGGGAGAAAGAACTGCGTACCTAAATATCGTCTAAGGGAGGGAGTGGTCTGTCCGCTACGATCTATGGAGTTCAGAGGGAGCCTGGCTGGGGACGTGCTGCTGCAGATGCTCCCTCACAGCCCGGCAGATGGGGGCGACAGGAGCGGCAGGAGCAGCGTGGGTGGTGGGCAGGCCGGGGTAGGCGTATGGGCCCTCGGTTCAGTGGGCTATGGGGGGCCCGAGGGGCAGGAGAAAGGATTCTGTGAGGGCTGAGGTTAGGGTCCGAGTTACCCGCTTCTTCCTCCAGCTCACATCCTTTTTTAGATCCTCTTCTTCCTCCCACTCCACCTCCCGACCTTGGTAGCTACAGGTAGGGCCTTGAGCCCAAGTCAAGAGCAGTGCTGAGGGAAGCCTGTCTTCTGATGGGCTCAGGCTGCCACCCGTCACAGAATCTCCCCTCGGGGGGGGTCTTCCCGTGCGGCAAGAGCATCTGCAGAGAGACACGGACACCCCCAAATAAAACTGACCCCAGGCCTGCTCACTCTGTGTGTCCGCAATGGCATTTCTTGAGGCGACCGTAAGCCGGTCTATGAATACAGCTGGGGGGTCGGGGCACCGGAAGAAGACACTAGACATTTATTTTAAATGCCTTCTATTTATTTGAATGACTTTTAAAGAAGCAGCAGCCCGCGTTGTAAAATTCCGGTCAGGCAAGCTCGAGGAGTGAGAGGGACCCACACTGAGGAGCACGCAGCACCCTTCACCATGTGACCGGGAGAATGCTGCAGAGCCAGACATGGCTGGGGGCTGGGGAGGGCTGCCAGCGGCCCAACGGAGGGCAGAGCTGAGAAAAGGGGGAGCAGTCTCATCTCTCCCCTGGCAACAGAAGTCTCATAGATAAAGAAGCACGTGATCCAGCTGTTCAAGGAGGCACTCAGGAGGCTTGTCATAAACAGTGATCCGAGAAGGTTGGGTTAGAACAGGGGTGTCCAGCCCGCAGCCCACAGGTCACCTGTGGCCCAAGATGGCTATGAATGCAGCCCAGCACAAAATCATTAATGTACTTAAAAGATTATGAGATCTTTTTGTTTTCCTTAGTGTTTGTATATTTAATGCATGGCCCACGACAACTCTTCTTCCAGTGTGGTCCAGAGGCGCCAAAAGCCTGGACATCCCTTGGTTAGAAGGAAGACCAGGGTAGCTCATGCTTGCAAAAGACAGAGGTAGAGCTATTGTTAAGCAAATGTCATAAAATGGGGCTTCTGACAGGTAGATACAAACATACTGTATGTTGAGGCTTCATTTTGAATCTTGTTCTAAATTGGGGGTACTGAGATGCTTTGAAGTAGAAAGCTGGAAGTTAAGGACATGTGTGTTATTAAGTTAATAAAGAAGTCTGTATGTACACACATTAAAACACACAGGGATGAACTAGGTTATCTCTAAGGTCTCTCGAAGGTGTAAAACTCTGTTAATCTGAGTGTAACGTCCTTACTCTCAGTTGGTCAGTCCTGAAAAACTCAGTTCTCTGGACCTGAGCCAGAGGGTGCAAGCTGGAGACTGAAGGGCCAGATTTAGCTTTCAAGGTGTGTTTTATTTGGCCTTCACAGTGTTTTCTAAATTCAAAATAGTTGCCAACATTAAAAGTCCGGATTTGTAGTTCCCCTTGGAAAAATGGGATTGAAGCATCTGGCAAGACCAGCCCACATTCCCACAGGGCAGCAACCATGTCAAACAGAGAACGTATTCTCCATTTCACCAAAGACCCTGCTGAGCTCTCTTCGCTTTTTTATTTCCTGCCTGGCCCTCTGAGGCATCGGCGTTTGGAATCTGGCCCAGGAAGTTTGTCGACCATGTTCTCATGATTTTCTATTTGGTGGCAGTTATAAGTCTAGCCCCAAACCCTTTTCCCTAATTCCATGGCAGACTCATCTCCACAGTCCGCCCGTTGAAGGCACATCTGCCTGGAGCGTGGGAGTCAGTGACCCCAGTCTGCAGAGCTTCGGCTTGTCTTACAGACGAGTAACTGAAAAGTTGCCAGCTATGTTCTACTTTCTCAAATTGAATCCCAAAGGCCTCTGAGGGGTGGCCGGTCAGGGAGATGCTTCCTGACCACTGCCAAGGGTAAATCACTTCTGGGCCAGGCTAGAAGCGGGTGCAGTGAAAAAGGCAGCTTCCCCTTCCATGGCCATGAAGTGACCCGGGCAGCTGCGCACAGTCGGTGGGTTTTGCAGCTGCCTAGGAGGTACCACTGAGGTCATAGTGTGAATGGCTCCCTCTGGATCTGTGCAGTACACCATCCTCCCAACTGGACATGCTGGCCCTGAACAGTGAGGGGGAGGGGAGAAACAAGCGGAGATGATGAGGCAGATGCAGCCCAAAGGGGTGTTTGGCACAGATTCACTATTTCCTTCTCAAGGCAGCAGGGGGTAGAGCTGGGAGGTAGAGTGGTAGAAGCCAAGACCTTGTCGGCCTGAGGCGAGAAGCTGGAGAGAAAGAAAGGGCCGGGCCTCAGCGCCCCCATGCGGCACCTGTGTAAATGCCCACAAGATGGTAGAAATAGCCAGAACTAGTCCCGGGAAGCTGGGCTGGGCTGGCCATCAGTGTGTGGGGCCCCCGGGACACTTAGTCAACAGATAACCATCTTGTACACACACACACACACACACACACACACACACACACACACACACACACACACACACACACACACACACACACACACACACACACACGATAACTCAGCAGAGATAGCCTACCCGATACACACACCTACATAAACACGGGCACAGTTTATATCCTGTGACGCACACTGAGTGTGTCCATACACATCACCACAATTGTTGGTAAGAGCAATTAGCACCTCAGACAGGTACACTTAACAAACACTTTCAGAGCATCTAAAGTACAATACTCTTTGGCTAAGCTACCTGCGAGAGTCCAACACAGCACCAAGTACTATGGAAGGAGAGGAAAGTAACCAGTAAACAAAACCACTATCAACTACCACCACGAACAGCTGAGTGCGCGTCTGCAGCGCCACCTACTGGCAAGAGGGGTGTTTGCACTTCGCTTGGAGAGCGAGTGAAACCTGGAACACTGCTTCGCCGCACTCCCCCGGAAGCCGCCGCCTGCCGTTCTCCCTCTTCCTGTTCTTCGAGAGTGGGGTGAGACCCTGGTAATCTCGGAGTCGCACTACAGCATCGGAAAATAAGCATTCATGGTCTTGCATGCCCCACCCATTATCCAATGCAGATGGCAAAATACGTTTTCGTCTCATGCCCACTCCAGCGCACTGGTAGGGACCGCCCAGGATGCCTGGGCTTAGCGGAGGGGCATCATGATGGAACAGCGACAGCAACCGTGGCTGTAGGTAGGGCGGCTCCCGAACGTGTTCTTGCCATGGATCCTGGAACCTTGGTAAACCCGTAAATGTGCAGATTTCTCCTGCTCCACAATTCTATCATGAGGTAGGTGTGTTTCTTGCCCACACCTCACGGCACAAGAAGACTGCCATCCCAGTTTTCACTGGAGTTTTCGCTCTCACTTGATCAGTGACTCCTGAGCCAACTAAGGCCTCATAGGGACCGTCCTTGTGAAGAGCTTGTTTTTGCTTCTGCAGAGAGCGATGGATGACCTGTCAGATCTGAGCACTGAAGTCCACGCTGGGCACTTCACTTTACCCGAAATTCATATTTAACGAAAGCCCATCCACCCACTGGTGTCCATCATTCCCAAGTGGCCCCACAAAGGCAGTGACAAATCAAGAACAAAGCCACCCTGAGCAGATGCTGGACAACCAGCTGGGCTTAGCCCTAGACAGGAGCCCTGCTCCCTGCCCCTGGCCCATCAGCCGGGGGGCACACTCAAGTCAAATCTGTGCATCAACCACATTTTGAACTACAACCAGCTACAGGTCACTTGAAAGTAGTCAAAACTCGAAATCTCAGCTCCTCACATGACAAGCAAGGGTCTGCTGTGTTTAACATCGAGGTACTTAGCTGGTGCCTGTGGGACTCCCTAGCCCCAGCAACGCTCACAGATGTGCAGTAGCTCCCCTCAGCGCCCCGTGCTGCCCCCTCGTCAGGGGAGTCAGCCTCTGCCTCCGAGTGCTTAGGTGCGTGTGAGCTGGTCTCTCCCACTGATGAGCAAGCTGAGGGGGTTTGCCCGAGCCCCTGGGTTCTGCTTTTACAGAGAAAGCAGACTTTTTCTGTAAAGGGCCAGATAAATATTTTCAGCTTCACGATCTCCGTTGAAATAATTCACCTCTGCTATTGTAGTGTGAAAGCAGCCATTGATATATATAAACAAAGAGGCATGGCTGTGTTCCAATAAAAGAGTTTTGTTTTTTGTTTTATTTTTACAAAAACAAGTAGTGGGTTCTGTTTGACCCAAGGAACCATGGTCTACCAACCCTGAATTAGCCCAATTCAGGGTCTTTAAACTGGGTTCCTCAGAACTTGGGGGTGTTGAGGTGCTTAAAGGCTCTGTTAATATCTGACTCTAATTTCAATTTGTCTTAGCTGTTTAGGAAGCTATTTTAAAAATGTACCCACTTACGTATATTAAGCATTTTAACATGCAGGAGGTCAGTGAGTTAACAGGCTGTTGGTGAACTACTTTGTTATGAATCTTCTATTGTCACCTCTCTGCACACGTCTGGGCCTTGGGGCAAAATGATTGGAAGCCTGGGCAGCCAGCCAGCGACGGCTTGAGCTCCTGTGCTGCCACTTATGAGCTATGTGACTGGGCACTTGCTTACTTCTCTGAACCAGCAGGGGCACCACTGGCCGTTTTGCAGCAGCAGCCTCCTGGAAGCTGCCTGAGATGCCCCTTTAACTGGATGGTGGGAAGAGGGAGCAGTCACAGTGGAGGGACCAGGGCAATCGTTCAGACCCACTCAGGGACTAAGTCCAGAGCCATTTACCAACATTCTGAAGACATTTCAGTATTTTAAGCACCAGTTTAGCCCGACTGGTGCACACCAGTTGAATATCATTATAATGCCAGATCCATCTCGGATTTGAATTTCTTACTAGTTTTGATTTATTCTGGCATTTTCTGCTATACCCTCACCATTCTGATAGGGCTCTCGAGAAGGGGAGAGGGGTGTCTTGCAATCTTAGCAGTCTCAGGGCTTACTTATATTAGGGCTTCTGTTTTTCTGCTAGGTGGCAGTTTCCAGTGGGCCTGGGACTTTGTTGCAAGCCTTTCCTGGGACAAGTTCTGCAAGACCCGCTGGGCTGCGATGCTTTTGGCTGCAGGGGTCTAGGCTGCCAGGAGCTACGGTGTCTGGGACCAGTACTGCAGAGCATGTGGGGTCTGAGACTTTAGTGCCCACCTGGCTTTTTAATTTGCCTGGTGAATGCTTCCCCTCAGCCCTTGAAACAATCAGATGTGTCTGGCTGCTGCCTAAACCTGCCCTCAGAACTTCCGACCTTTATTCCAATCTCTGAAAGTTTGGTGTGTTTTTTTTCCTTCAGACCTGAGATGCTCATTTATGGCTTCAGTAATAGAATTTGGACCCTCCTGTCTCTCATTGCCCAGGCCTGTCTGTGCCTATTAATGGTGGCTCCATTGTGATCCAGGCTTTTACTGCACCTTATCTTTGGCTTCCAGAGAGACTTGGAAGAATCAGCAGCATTTATCACTAAGGCCCCAGGGCAGAACTTCGAAGTTCCCAGAATCCCTGGGTTTATCTTAATTAGGCGACATCTGGTCTGCTTTCACAGGGCACACTGTCCACCCTGATCGCATAGCCTACCCACCAGTCTGTGGGCTACCGGCTGGCTCTGGGAGCCCTGGAGGCTCATCCAAGGGGGCGATTCTGACTGAGGGGATGGCGGGCAGATGTGTCTGTGGTTCAGCCGAGATCAAAGGTGACTTGGGTTGAGCTCTCTGACTTCCTTCTTATTTCCCCTTAGGTCTCATAATATCTCTGGCTGGTTTGGAGCATGCGTAGAGGAAGGAGCTCAAAAACAGGCCCTCTGCCTTGAAAGCCTCCACTGTTGCCCCAAAAGATTGTGGCTGTGGATGAAAAGGACCCTATGCAGATACCCTCATCACCTGCCCTTCCCCGATATGGTGGTCAGTGCCGGGCATCCGCCCCGGCACTCCGCACAGCCTTGCCCTTCCACCCCAGTACCCGCCTCCAGGCGCTGATGGCAAAAGCCCAGCCAAGCACTTCAGTTCTGGCCGAACTATTGCTCATTTCAAGAACCATCTTTGTGTTCGCACTTTTTTCTCCTTCCCGGATGATCCTTCTGCAACGACTGCCCTACCTGCTCTGCCCAGAACCTGTGCATCCTCAAAAGGACAAAGGTCACACCCTGGATGGCTCTTTACCCCCCTCTCCCACACACACCTCCAGGCTCCTGCCCACTTTGACAGTACCTTCGGCTTTCTTCACAAAGCACCTGATCACAGCTAGGAGTCCCCCAGGAACTGGGCAATCAGTCCCCACTTGTAGAGATGTCTGTTCACACCCCTAGGTCTTCCCAAGGGACCAGCCATTGGTGCCCACCATTCCTCCAGAGAGAACAGGGCTGGTCACCAAAGGAGGAGGCTGACTCGTCAAGCAGTGAGAATTCTACCCTGGAAGTGGTGACAAAGGGGCTGCAGGCGCTCCTGCAAGGGTGCAGGACTCATGAGTGTCCCTTGCACGCATCCCAGTGATGGAGAGCTCATTACTTCCACTCACAATTTCATAGCTGTAGAAGCTTCTAGTGCACATTTCAGCTCCTTTCTTCTCTAACTGGCCACGGCCACAGACCAGACCTCTCACACACCACACATCACCCCAGAAAGGCCTTCCTTCCCTCAGGCTCAGCCTGGACAACCTCCCACTTCACCCACTGAGCTCTCGGCCCCTGGGCCCACAGCAGTAAACCCCGATACTCCACCTTTCCCCTCGCTGGCAGGGCTGCTCAGTGACACAGCAGGATGCAATAATTAAGGAGTGAGAGTTGAGGTGAGAGGCTTCGCAGGCAGGAACCAAACTTTGGCTACAAGCAAATGCAATGGAAGCACCGAGCAGGCTGCCACTAAATCTGCTCCCCCGGAAGTGCCTGCAGTGCCCCCTGCTGGCTGGACCGGAGTTTGCATGCAGGTTTAATCCACTCCTTCACTCCTTTCACAGACACCCCCTACCTGGCAGCAGCTGACCCCTGATGAGACAGATTAGAGGATCGCAGGAAGCAAATGGGTCATCTTGTCCAGTGGTTTCCAAACGGGTAAAATTATAGGTGGGGTTGCTGTGGATGATTGTGCATTTTGCCCAGTTGACAAAGGCCTCTGGGCTGAGGAGCCTAGTGGGGGCTGACATCCCCCTCACATCCTGCTGGGCAGGCTGTGTGCCCAGCGTGGATACGGCCAGCCCAGAGCAAGGGCCTTCTCTGCGTAATTCACTCTAGAGACAGCGTCCTTGTGTAATCTGCACAAAGGTGCTGTGTAGACCAGCAGCAGCCTTGGCACAGAACGCTTCCTTCAAAGAGGACAATCTTATAAAACCAAGCTTCTTTAGCTAAAGGAGAGTTTGAAAACCACCTAAAAGATGGGGAAACTGAGGCCCACGTAGGGGAGGGACTTGGTCAAAGTCATGCATTTTATGCCAGGATGGAGCACAGCGGTCAGATCCCCTCTCTTTCGACTCAGTGCTCTTCGAACTATACGGGGCTGGATTCCACCCCCGGGGCCCTTTGCAGGCATCCTGGCTCCTTGGACCCTCCCCTGCCCAGTGCCATCCACTTCCCCCTGAAGTGAGCCACAGTCTTACTTTCCTGGCCAGCGTCGTGGCCCAGAGCTGGCCCGGAATGAGAGCTGGTGAGAATGCCAGCCGAGTCTTCATGACTGCCTACCAGTACCTCACTCAGGGATGAGGGCAGACATGCAGCAAGGCAGTGTGGTAAGGGACTAGGAGGGTCAGTCCACTGGATGACATGTCGAAGTGTGACAGGGAGCTGCGCCGGGAGCACTGAGGGTCAGCGAGGCTGGCAGCTTGGCTGCTGTGTCGCTGGGGTCTGCTTCACAGGTGAAGTCCGCCGGGGTGTCTGGGCCACACCGTAAGGCACGTGGGCAGCCACTGTGCCCATCTCCTGAGCCCCAGCCACATGGAACATCTGGTCATCAAAGAAGATATGTGGGCGGATCTTCTCGAGCAGGGGGCCCTTGGGCGCCCCCGCAAGGAACAAGGCTTCATCTGTCTCCAGGCCCCAGCTGCGCAGGGTCTTGAGAGCCCGGGCCCCAGAACTGGCCGCGCTGCGTGCCGTCACCAGGTAGGTGCGGATTGGGCACTCCAGCCGCAGGCCCTTGGAGTAGAATTTCTTCTGCAGCCTACCCAGAGCCTCCAGAAAGCCCTTTAAAGGTCCCTATGAGAAGGCAAGGGAAGACTGTGAGCGCACCCCTCTCGCAAACATTTGCTCCCTCTCCAGCTGGGCTCCTCCCTAAAGCACTCATGTCTTGATGCTTGGCGTGGGAAAGCTCGTCAAGGTCCCCACATCTCTCAGCCCTGCTCTGCCTGCTGAGGCCACTGTGTGCATCAACGGGACAGTCTGTGTCAGAATAACTGCACCAGGACAGCTGTTACTCCATGTGTCCATCTCTGCGCCCCCCGGGGAAAATGGGTGTCTGTCCTGCAGCTCAGTAAGTGTGACCTTCTGTGTTCCCCGGCAGGGAGGATATTAAAAATATCCTCCAGGCAGAATGGATTCCAGCTGCGAAGCACAGGGACAGACAGACCAGGGTGCAACTGGCTCACGGTGTCATGCTCTGGCTCTCTGGGGTCAGGGAAAGGATTTACTCTCTATGGTGCTGGGAACAATGAAGGTTAATGAGGACATGTGAGTAAAGAACCAGACAATGGTAAAAAAAAAAAAAAAGAGAGAGAGAGAGAAAGAAAGGAAGGAAGGAAGGAAGGAAGGAAGGAAGGAAGGAAGAAAGAAAGAAAGAAAGAAAGAAAGAAAGAAAGAAAGAAAGAAAGAAAGAAAGAAAGAAAGAAAGAAAGAAAGAAAGAAAGAAAGAAAGAAAGAAAAGAAAACTACAACAGCAGTTGGAAATAAGGAGAGGCGGGCTTCCAGTCTTGGAGACCCCTCACCTGCTGGGAGACTGGGGAAAGCAGTGATCTCCTGGGCTCTGCCTGCCACGTAGCGGGAACACAGTCCTGCCCTGATTCCCAAAGGTGTTGGAGGGAATTAATGAGAACGGGAGTGAAATGAATGCTCAGGGCCAAGACTAGAGCCTGCTGAAGTCTTGGTGAGAGGGGATCTGGGATGATGGAGATTTTTGTTAAAATCACAAATAGGCTCTGGCTGGTGTAGCCCAGTGGACTGAGTGTGGGCCTGCAAACCACATGATCGCAGTTTGATTCCCAGCCAGGGCACATGCCTGGGTTGCAGGCCAGTTCCTAGCAGGGGACTCACGAGAGGCAACCATACATTGATATTTCTCTCCTTCTCTCCTTCCCTTCCCCTCTAAAGATAAAGAAATAAAATCTTTTTAAAAATCACAAATAGGAGCTCCCGGGAGGCCTGGAGAATTCCATCGGCTCCAACCCCAAGGAATCGTAACCAGGGGCTAGGGCGTATTCTGCTCTCAGGGAGACTTCTGAGCAGTAGGATGTTGAGTGGGGGTCCCTGAGCCCCTTGTCAAGGGATGGATGGCAGGAGGTAGTTGGGGCTGGTTGGCCCAAAGCAGAGGGGCTGCCCCAGACCCCACGCCCAGCTGGATCTCCCTGCCCAGGTGAGGAGCGCCAGTCCAGCGTTCCCTTTCCTCCAGTGAGGGAAGCGGGGGCTTCTTGAGAGGAGGGGAGACTACTCAGAGGGGTGGGGGGAAACTCAGAGAGAGGACGAGGGTTCCAGAGAGAGGGTGAGGCTTTCAGAGGGCGAGGGGGACTGTAGAGAAGGGATGGAGGCCCTGACCAGTATGGCTTAAGTGGCTGGGAGTGTCCCGCAAAGCAAAAGGTTGCTGGTTCGATTCCTGGTCAGGGCACATGCAGGTTTGGTCCTTGGACAGGGTTTGTAAAAGAGGCAACCTATTGATGTTTCTCTCCCTCCCTTCCCCTCTCTAAAATCTAGTAAATAAAAATTTTAAAAAGACAGAGAAGGGATGGAGACCTCAGCAAGGAGCTGCAAAGAAGAGGTAGAGGCTTCAGAGAGGGGCTTTGAGAGAAGATGGGGGCTTCAGAGGGAGGATGGGACTGCAATGAGGGGGCAGGGGCTCGGGGAAGGGGTAGAAGCTCACTGAGGGGAGCCAGGGGCCAAGTGAGAGGGATGAAGACTGAAGGCTTGGTGAGCAGACCCGCCTAGATTCTAGGCCAACCTCTGAGTTTGGTTCTGGGCTGGAGGTTCCAGCCAAGGGCAGGCTCTGGGGAGCTGCCCTGCTCCACTCAGGGGTTCTGGGGCTTGTGTGGAGCACCTGAGCCAAGGGTTTGTTCTCATGGGCCTTCTCGTGCTCGAAGAACCTGTCCAGCCCGTGGGCCTTGACGATGCGCTCCGACTCGTCCGAGAAGAGCACCGCGTCCCCGTCGAAGGCCACGCGCAGCTGACTCTGGGACACGGCCACGTCCCTGCTGGGGCTGAAGATGGTGGCAGCTGCGATCCCTGGGTGGAGAGAGGCGAATGTTGTCTGCCTTCATCCTGACAATGGGGCTCCCTGACACCTGGGGCCAGGACAGGGCTGTCTCAGACTATCCTTGCCCTACCTGCCTCACTCAGGGCTCAGAGGGAACAAGATAAATGAGGGCTAAGATTTGAGATATTTAAAACCTGGCCATAAGAATGGATGGTAGCTTTTGCCCTGAGCAGGGGTCTGAGGGCTCTGGCCTAAGCCCGAGGTTCCCTTCAGTTGCTGGTGTGCGGGAAGGTCTGAGGGAGCCCCAGGCAACAGCAGGACACTTAGAGGACTCAGGGCAGGAGCCACTTGTCAACCAGTATGGAAGAATGTCAATACCTTAATATCTAGTGAGGTCATGCTGGCATGGGCTGTCGGAACGTCAGTCCTGGCTGGAAGGGCTGCTGATGTCCTTCCTGGAGTTCCTCACGGACTGTTGATACAGACCCACGGGGTGCTGGGCAGGAGCCCGGACCCTGGCTTGGCCTCCCTCTCTTGCTGTTGATTCTGACAAGGCCCTCGCCTGCTCTGCCTCCACCCAAGGATGGATGTCTCAGCTCTGTCTGGAGCTGAGCTCTGTCTGGAGCTGGAACTGCAGCTGAGCTGCAGCCTGGGGTGAAGTGGGCGTGGGTACCTTAATTCTACTGTCACGAAGGCACCCAGGTGTGTCCTACTCAGGATAGCCTGGCCGTTCAGGGTTCTTTGAAGCAATGTGGGTGGCCATAGGGGCAGCACTAATTATACTTGACTGTGACACAGACTCTCTGCTTCTCCAGAAGGTCAAGGATGCCGACAACCCGGGCTCCAGGCTAGAGCTGCAATGGATGAGAGAGCCCGTGCGTGGAGGCTGGAGGCCTGGTTAGCCGGTTCAGCCCATTCCCTACCCTTCATCTCTCCAAAGGCCACCTCAACCCTGCTCTTTGTGAATCTGGGACCAGAGGGGCTGGGTGTAGGCAGAGCTCTGGAGAGGTGAGCAGTGCCAACCCCGCAGCAACTTTGGAGCCTGAGGATGTTATAAGTAGGACCAGGCCCTGGGCATCAGGCCAGGAACCCTCTCCACTCTGCCAGTACTAGAGCCAGGATGAACCAAAACCAGCCCTACTCCGAGCAGGGCCACCCCCCTGACCTCCACCTGCTCTCCAGCCTGAGCTCAGATTGCAGACATACAGAGATACACAGGCAGGCCAGTGCCATGGCCCCGACCAGAGGGTGTGACATCTGTGCAGGGAAATGGCTTCTGGTCCCTGGTTAAAGAGCCCTCTAGAGGCCCGAGCAGCTCAGAGGAGTGAGGCATCGGGCTTCTAGGCAGGAGACAGCATGGAGGAGGAAGAGAAAAGTGAATATATTGTTGGTCGATAGACCTGCCAGTAGTGCGTAGCCTGACAAGCCCGCTCAGGCGGTGGGGCCTGTCGGCCTGAGCCAGAGGACCAAGGCTACGGCTGCCGCCCAACACTGCCCCTTGAAAAGGACACACGAAGGAAAGTTTTCTTTGTCAGAACTTGTGGCCGGGTCTCCTAAACTCGCCTCAGCTGCTGGAGTGCTGGCCATTTCCCAGACCACACTCATTGCTCAGGCTGGACTAGAAACTTATCTTTCTCCTCACTGCCCATGGTCACACAGGAATCAGAACTCCTACTGATCTGGAAGATTCCTCAGAGGCAGTGTCTTTCTGGGCTATAAGGAGGGCTTCCATGGAAATAGAAGCCAGGGTGATGGTTGATGAGTAAATGCATCCTCAATGTGGTAGGGCAGGGGGTGGGAGAGTGGAATAGGTGGGCGATTAAGTAGAATAGGTGGGCCTTGTTCTCAGAGTCTATGGGACAGGTCATAGGAATTAAGGAAGGCAGTCCCCCTTCCAGTGACCACCACAACCCCTAGCACCTGCTCAGGGCTTTAGGACCCGGCCTCCCACCTCAGGGACCCCTTTGCCAGACTCCCCATGTTCCCCCTCCCCCGTTTCACTCACCTTCATCAATGGCTTCCTGAACTTTTTCCGCATCAGCTGACAAGTAGAGGTTGGTGTGATAGGCCTTGAGGTAGCAGATGGGGCTATTCCCACCCGTCATGCAGAACCTCTCGATGAACAGGTCTGGGGAGGAAACAGAACAGCCAGGCCATGCCCGAGTCAACCCTTAGGGCCTTGCCGCGGTCCCTCCAGGTGCAGTAGACACTGTCTTGGCTCTGAGCGCTGGTGGGGCACTGGAGTGGTCTCTGGAGCAGCTATCGGGCTCACAGTAACATCCTCTTGCCAGGGAATTCCAGTACTAGACAAGGTGGGTCCCTAACCAGGACTGACCCTCTTGGCCCTCGCTGATTGGATAGGGACAGACAGCTGACCCCAGCTAGGCCAATCAGATTCTCTCACAGCCTGGGCTGAGAGCCACCCAGTACCTATATCTGCACAGGTTGTAAAATATTTGCTGGTTGGTGAACAGCCGCTGCTCTGAGTCCACTGAGCCCAACACGACCGCATCCCTTACGCGGGACAACCCACAACGGAAGGGGTAACGCGGTGCACGGCAGGAGTGCTACTGGACAGGCTCCGGTGCTGCAGGAGCTGTCTGGATTACTCCGCGCCTACACCACAGGCGGTTAAATATTTTGAATATAACGCCTGCTCCCAGCAATTTGAAATTAGGATAAAAAAAATGCCAACTGGACTCTCTTGGTTGCTTAAAACAAAGACTTGTACACTTACAAATTTTGGCCACGTTCAGGAAAAGCAGAGAAGCCTGCCTAGCTCGGGGAGAGAGGCAGGAAAAACAAAAAAACAACAACAAAAAAACGAAACAAAGACAGAGACTTGCTGAGAGAAGCAGAAATAAGGAGGCTCCTGTGGCCCCCAGAGAGAACAGCCCAGGAGAGATTTCCAGTGGTTCTGAGACGCACTCCTATAAACTCACAGAAGATGTTTTTTCCCACTTAAACTGGCTCTGGAGGCTCTATTACTTTCAATCAAGAATTTGAATTAGGCCACCAAGCCCCACTCACTCGGATGACTGCACCTGTTCTCCGAGCAGCTTTGTGAGGCCCGGGAGCCCCACTGCAGTCGGAGACGCCGAGGCACCGCGACTGCAAGTGCCCTGCCCGATCGCATAGGAGCAGGGCCGAGCGGCGGCGCGCTGCAGCTGGCTGCTGCTGACTCGCAGGAACTGAATGTTAAACATCCTGGGGCTTGGGGAGCCAATTTGATTGTTCAGCTGTTGGTAGCTTGAAATCAGCCATGGTGGGAGTGCTTACACCCTGAAATGGCAATTCCACAATTGGGTGCTTTTCTTGCTGTTGTTGTTTTTAAGAGCTAGTTTATCAGCACATTCCTGGGTTTGGGGTTCTAGCTGGTACACCCTCACCCTGCAGAGGTGTGGCCCCACCCCCAGGTGTCTGGCAGGGGTGTCCCGCGGTCCCATCCCGAATGCTCACCATAGTGGTTGATGCTATTGATGAGACGGACACCCACTTGAGCGTGGTTGTTGGTTACGAGGACAATGTCGAAGATGTCCTCACTGTCAGGGTACAACTCCCGAAGTCGCCTGTTCACAGCTTCCAGAGCCTGGAAGGGAGAGGGGCCCTGCAGCTCAGACCCCCAGGGACGAACATCTGCAGCCGGTAGCCAGGGTTGGGGAGGACGGGGACAGGGGCTTTCTCCTCCTAATCTCTGCCATTGCGCAGGTTGATTCACTGAAAGCATGAGTGGATGCTGAAATCCAGCCTGTGTTCCGCTCACCAGACTGGCTGTTTACCTGGTGTGGGGCTGCATCGGTCCGGAGTAACGGGTGGCCTCGTCTTCCCACAATGCTTCTGCCCCTAGCCAAGCCGTGCGCCCGTGGGGCAGCACCTTCCCCAAGGGTCCCTCCTCCTCACTCAGACATCCATGGCAGTGCTTTTTCCAAACCCCCACAAAGGCACTATGCGGCTCGTGGTGGACAGCCACTCACCTTCACGAAGGGGAAGGCCGGCCCCGGGCTGAACGGCTCATTCTCGTGCTCCAGCTGGTAGCGCACATACTCCTCCACGCCCTGCTCCGTGTAGATCCGCTGCTCCTCGTCCATGCGGAACAAGGCGCGGGAGGACACAGCAATGGTGACTGCATTCTGAGGCTTGGGCTGCAGAGGTGCAGGAGAAGGGCCATCATTCACACTCCCCCGAGGTGGGTCTCATGTGCCAGCCTCTCTGGGCTCTGGGGCAGGAAGTAAACCCAGGCCCAGCCTCTGCCCGGGGAGGCTTAGTCTTGGGCAGGGGCAGACCTGGGACAGGACCCTCTCTGTGTAGGACCCAGCTGGGGACGGAGATGATGGCTCTCCACTAAGAAGCACGATGGGATGGCAGGGACATGTCCTCGGCGAGTCTGCAATCTGGCCAGCCATCTGGACACAGCAGAAAAAGGAATACAATGTATGGAGCCACAGAGTGTGGCTGATGCTCAAGGTGGTCTCTGGTCTCCACTATACAATGGGAGCTACAGGCCCTTCAGAGGAATTGTGCTTGGAAACATGACAACTATGTGACAACATTTATCTCCAGCCCAGATCTTTCTCCTGCGCTCCTAACTCATGCATCTAACTGTCCCACTTGACTACCAGACACTCAAACTCAACGTGCTCAAGGCTCAATCCCTGCCACTCTCTCCACCGCCAAACCTGGACTCCTTCCTCTTTCTTCATCCCATTGCTCAGCACCACCATGCACTTCTCTCCTGAACCAGGAGCCCAGAAGTCAATGCAAGTCTTCCCTCTTCCTTAACTCCTTTCCCCTATCGATGAGTCACCAATGCCCGTCACCTCCACTGGACTCCATCTACTTCCTTCTGTCTTCCCTACCACAGCCCAGTCCATCACCATCTGTCATCTCCTCTAACCTGTCACCCATATTGTTGCCAGGGGATTTTCCCATGTTCAAGTCTGGTTGAGTGCCCCTCCCCTTGAGTGGTGTCCATTCCTCTCAGGCTCCAGTCAGTAGCCTTTAGTGTAGAGTAGGAAGCTCTTCATGGCAGATCCCTTTCTTCTCTCTCCGCTCTCGCCTTCCCATGACCCCGCTTTGCTCACGCTGACTCTCTCATGTGTGAGCACAACTTCCCATCTTTCTCTGAGCCTTTGCACCTGCCACTCCCCCGCCTGATCTGCACTCCCCCTGACTCTCAGCCCAGCTGAAGTCTACCCAACCTTTGGGTCTCAAATTACGTGCCGCCTCTAGGAAGCCTTCCCTCACGCCTAGTTATGGGTGTACTACCTCTTCCATTTTCTTTTCCTCTCCTATTTTTCCATTTCCTTTTTAGTAAAATTCAACGGTAAGTTATAATTGCTTACTTAATTATTTCTATTTCTAGACAGAGCTCTAGAGAGGAAGCAGGAACTGTGCCTAAGTTCTGAGGGAGCAGGGACTATGACTATCTTGTTAATTTATTGTATGTCTAGTGCTTAGAACTGTACCTAGCACGGTAAATTTTTAATGGCTCTGGACTTTTGAGTAACATATTTCAATAAGAAGTGATATTTGCCATGAAAAATTTTACACAAACTAGAAACTTCAGTGAAGTGCTCTAATCTGTTCAGATTACTTGACATATAGCAGGTGCTCTGAGAATATATATTTTTTTGGTTGACACAAATTTGACAAACATTTACTGGTTCTTTGTGCCAGATACCTGGGCTCTGCCTGGGGTGGTCCTGTCCCCAGAGCTCACAGGCTGGGAGGGGAGAAACAGCAATGCAGAAGGGACTGAAATGAGTGGCAGAACACAGGTGAAAGCCTTGTCTTGATGACAGGGGTTCAGAGGAAGTTGTCACGGGAGAGGAGGCGTTTGAGCCGAGACGTAGAGGAGGAGCAGGGTGAAGGAAGGCGTGAAGAGGTGTGCACATACATGGTGCACCCACAAGGGTGAGCAGAGCCCAGGGCGTGGGGGTACAGGTGAGCCCAGAACAGTAGGAAGGTGCCTGGTTGCAGAGGGCCTTCTCTCAGGGCCCCAGAAGCTCTCAGAACTCCTTCGCCCCCTGCAGTGGAATGGAGACAGGGGTGTGCCATCATGGACAGCGGCTGGGCCCTTGGTGATCCCTGGGAGGGTCAGGATGTGGGTTTCCAAGGGACTCCCAGACTCCCAGAGTCCCACTGCATCTCTGTGACCTGAGCTGTATGGGACCATGATTCCCACTTTGCAGATGAGGGGCTCACACTGGGGCCTTCTCCCGATGGCCCTGCAGGCCACGCACTGGCCCCGCTGCTTCTTTCTGGAGTCAAGCCTAGGTTCCAATCAGTTGACAACACTGAGTGATGACCATGTGACAGGCATTGTTCTGGGGACATGGCAGGAAACAAGACAGGTGTGATCCCTGCCCCCATGGAGCTTGTGACCTGTCCCCAAGGCAGAAACCCGTGCCATCCTTCAGAAGAGCACTGCCTTGTAGAACTTTCTGAGATATTAGAAATGTCCAGAGCTGTCCAGGGGGCTACATGTGACTATGGAGTAACTAGAAAATGCAGCTAGTGAGATGGAGGAACTGAATCTTTAGTTGTATTTAATTTTAATCAATTTATATTAAGTAGCTATGACTGGCAAGTGGCTAGTGAGGATTTAAAACCTCAGAGTTGGAATGGAAGACCAAAGAGTTCCCCAAGCTCTTGAAGTAGACCTCAGTTTGCTTTTGGCTTTTATTCCCACGGAGGCGCTGTCTGAGGCCAGCAGGGCCAGTCTAAGGCAGCGGCAGGACAGGTGCCTCTCCTCTGGGGCTCAGCTCAAGTACTGCCCCAGTTGCTGGCCGCCACCCTGTGTTTGTGTGTCCTTGGGCCATGTACCTTCCAACCCCTTCAGCAGCTGTGAGCTTTCAAGGAAAAATATAAAGTTAAAAGACCTAGAGAAAGAGTGACAGAAGGATGGTGAGAGATGGGAAGTGTGGAGTTAGGAGAGAAGGGAGACCTACTCTTACAGACCCAGGAAGCCTGTTGGCCTTCAGGACCACGACTGAGTGCGTCCCTCCCCCTGGGCTTTCTGCCTTAGGGACAGAGTCCACCATCCCTTCAAGGACAGAGAATCGGCTGCCCTCCCAGCCCCTTCAGGCAGTTTCCCAAGCCAGCCACTCCAGCCCAGGCGACCAGCCAGCCAGCCAGCCAAGGTCTCACTCCTCTCTGTCCCACAGTCCCTGCCAGACTGCCATGTTCTGGGTCCCCCCTGGCTGACCTGCCTAGACCCTATCCCCTCCCACCTTGGGCCATTGCAAGAAAACCACCCCAGGTACCTTGGCTCCAGAAGTCTCTACTTCTTCTATTTTTAAAAAAGATTTTATTTATTTATTTTTTAGACAGATGTGAAGGGAGGGAGAAAGAGAGGGAAAGAAACATCAATGTGTGGTTGCCTCTCGTGCATCCCCTACTGGGGACATGGACCACAACCCAGGCATCTGCCCTGCCTGGGAATTGAACCAGCAACCCTTTGGTTCTCAGGCCAGCACTCAATCCACTGAGCCACGCCAGCTGGGGCCACTTCTTTTAAAGATGGGGAAATTAGCCCAGAGAGGGAAAGAAAATTATTCTAGGTCACACAGCAAAGTCAGGGCAGAGCCAAGATAAGATCCGAAGTCTCTGGCCTCTTTCTATACAGCAGCACCCCATCCCCCATAAGCCCCTTCTCAATAACTCTCAGAAGACCCCAACCCCTGCTATTTCAGCCACTTCCTTGGGACAGTCCTCCCACACAGCCCCTCTTTCCAGATTTGGGAGAAATGGTGAGGGGCACAGTGCCCTCACACTGAGGATTCCAAGGGCAGGCCTCTCTTCACCTCAGATGGAGGCCCCAAGGGCAGGACCCCGCCTCCCCGCTCAGCCTGCTCCGACACTGTCCAGGCGAGGTGGAGTCTGAGGGCCTAGAGGGTGTGAGCTGGAAGCGATGAGCAGCCCGGGCTGCAGGGGGAGCTGAAGGGACAGGTGAAAGTGGTTGACCAGGGTTGAGTAGGAGCAAGCGCACAGAGACCCTCCTGGACCCAGCTGCAGAGGAAGGCCACCCTGTCACGTGTTATCAGGTGAGCCTGGGACAGGTCCCCCAGAAATCGGAAAGAAGTCCAGATTCCAGTCTGGGAACTAGGCCAGAAAGACTCTCACCCGAGACCAGAAACTCAGCCTGGGAGCACTAGCCTGCCAACTCTCTCTGCCTTCCACCAGGGTGGGGGCCAGGCTGGTGGCCCCCTCTGACATGGGGGCTTGCGATGGGGTGACAGTGGAGGGCGGCACAACCCCACCCCGCCTGTCTGAGGAACTCTCATTTAGGCTGATATGATTCTGCTCGTTGGGACCAAGACCGGAACTTGGCCAAGAGCTGTTGGGAGAAGGGCAGCTGGAGGAGTGAGACAGATAGGTCTGCACTGAGGAAGTCCTCTGGCCCCATGAGGTGAGGGCCTCCTATGCATCTGAGGCTTAAATACTTCGCTCAAGCTCCTGGGAATGAGAATGAGCCCAGCCAGCTCCTGATGTGGCCCATGAGGCCTAAAGCCCCCAAAATAGCCTGTGGGAGGAGGGGCTATGGCAGGAAGGAGTAGGGGCCAGGAAGCCACCTGGCGCCTTGCTGCTCAGAGCATTGTGAGGGTCAGGGGCTGACAGAGAGGTTGTGACTGACAACTGGGCCTGAGTGCCTGGATTCTCTGGCACTTGGGGAGGAAATGAATTGGGGAGCTCCACTGACCACCTGGGTTCCCAGCGCCCATCCCCTTCTCTCCATCGCCCCCCCCCCCCCCGCCCCGCCTCCCCACAGGCCATGAGAGTAGTCTAACTTGCTCTGCAGACAGGGACCAGCGCCCTCACTAGCCTGCCTGCTGCCAGGCACACCCTCTTGAATCCATCCACAGCACTGCCCAGGGTGATCCTTCTAAAATGAAAATGGAAACAAGTTAATCCCCTGCTGAAAAACCCTGCCTCGCTCTATAATGGTTTTCATGCTCTTTTAAAAAGTAGGTTGACCTGTCATTCAAATGAACTCTTGGGGGAAACCCCAATATGTAAACCAGATATTACCATATCTTATTGGCATAAATTTATTTTACAAATTCAAATGTATTACACATACATAAAGTATTTATTATAATGTCAACCAATGAAAACAACACAGTTGTTTGGATAATGACAAATTGGAAACTGGGAGTTAGGATTCCGACTTAACTGGTGCAGACTTAGGCTTCGTCATCTAGTCAATTTGTTTCTGCATTTGTTGGGGGTTTTTTTTACTGTTGGATTTTTCACAGTATTGAGAAAGCCCTGATTCACACCAATAAGTGGCTGCAAATGATCAAAGGTATTTTGTTCTGTTTTGTTTTAAGCTACAAGCCTCAAGAGGCTCAGCAATAATTGCCAGCAATCTCAAGATACTCTTCTATTAAACAGATCGCAGAAAAAGCTTTATTCTAAGGTTTGCTAATAATAATAATAATAATAATAATAATGATAGGGACTTCTGGTCAAGATGGAGACATAAGTAGACACACTTTGCTTCCATGTGCAACCACAAAAAGAATTACATCTAGCCCTGGCTGGTGTGACTCAGTAGACTGAGTGATGGCCTATGAACCAAAGGATCGGCAGCTCGATTCCCGGTCAGGGCACATGCCTGGGTTGAGGGGCCTTCCCCAGTAGGGGGTGCGTGAGAGGCAACCACACATTGATGGTTCTCTCCCTCTCTTTGTCCTTTCCTTCCCCTCTCTTTAAAAATGAATAAGCAAAATCTATTTTTTTTAAAGCCACATTCATTCAGATGAGTAGGAGGGATGGAGACTTGGAGATGGGGCAGAGAGAAGACAAGATGCGGCATGGAGAGGTGCAGCGGAATGGGGCGCACAGGTGGTCGCACATTCATGTGTGGTGGATAAAAATCTGGAGAGATACTCAGGGAGCAAGCGATCCCAGCCCCAGGCCAGATTGCACAGCCCAGGGTTCCAGCACTGGGAAGATAAATCCCAGTAACTTCTGGCTATAAAATGCACTTGGGATTGGAGCAGCAGAAGAAACTGACAGATTTCCAGGAAACTCCATTTAAAGGGTTTATGTGGTCTTAAAACATACTCAAACCCACTCACTTGGGGATTCAACACCAGGGCAACAGCTGGAAGGGCACAAGTTGCATATGGGGAATGGGTGAAATGACTGGAAAGGAGGCAAATGCCAGGCAAACCCCCAGAAGCCAGGCAGCAGCACAGTCTCTTCTCTGAGCCCTCCCCCTCCCCCTACGCAGAGCCACAAAGTGGTAAAGCAGGTTGCCCCACCTTGGTGATTACCTATGGCTCCACCCACACAATTTACAGGTGTCTTTTACAGGAAGTCAAGGCAGTTCTACCTAATACACAGAACAAACACAGAGAGGCTGCCAAATTGAGGAGACAAAGAAATATGGCCCAAATGAAAGAACAGAACAAAACTTCAGAAAAAGAACTAAATGAAACAGAGATAGCCAACCTATCATATGCAGAGTTCAAAACACTGCTGATCCTGAACCGATACTCAAAGAACTTGTTGAGTATGGCAACAACAGAAAGGAAGAAATGAAGATTACACTAAGTGAAATAAAGAAAAATCTCTAGGAAACCAATAATGGAGGGAAGGAAGCTGGGAATCAAATCAATAATTTGGAACATGAGGAAAAAATAAGCGTTCAACCAGAACAGAAATAAGAAACAAGAATTTAGAAAAACAAGGATAGTATAAGAAGATTCTAGAACACCTTCAAATATGCCAACATCCAAATCATAGGGATACCAGAAGGAGAAGAGGAGGAGCAAGGAGTTGAAAACTTATTTGAAAAAATAATGGAAGAAAACTTTCCTAATTTGGCAAAAGAAATAGACATACAAGTCCAGGAAGCACAGAGAGTCCCAAACAAGTTGGACCCAAAGAGGACCACACCAAGACACATCATCATTAAAATGCCAAAGGTTAAAGATGAGAGAATCTTAAAAGCAGCAAGAGAAAAGCATAGAGTTGCCTACAAATGAATTCCCATAAGACTGTCAGCTGATTTCTCAGAGAACACTTTCTAGGCTAGAAGAGACTTCCAAGAAGTATTCAAAGTGATGAAAAGCAAGGACCTACAACCTAAATTACTCTATCCAGCAAAGCTATCATTTAGAATCACAGGGCAGATAAAGTGCTTCCCAGACCAGGTAAAGCTAAAGGAGTTCATTATCATCAAACTATTACTACATGAAATGTTAAAGGAACTTGTTTAAGAAAAAGATCAAAACTATGAACATTAAAAAGGCAAGAAATTCACAGCTATCAACAACTGAATCTAACAAATAAACAAACAAACAAACAAATCTAAGCAAACAACCAGATCAAGAACAGAATCATAGGTATGGAAATCATTTGGAGGGTTATCAGCTGGGAGGGGTGGGGGGAGAATGGGGAAAGGGTACAGGGATTCAAAAGCATAATTGGTAGGTATAACATAGACAGGACAATATTAATAGTGTAGGAAATGAAGAAGCCAAGAACTTATATGCACAACCTACAGACATAACTAAGGGGGCAATTGCTGGAGGGAAGAGGGGCACCAGGTAGGTGAAGGGGGCAAAGAGGGAAAAATTGGGATGGCTATAATAGCATAATCAATAAAATATACTTAAAAATAAAATGTAAAATATAGTATAAATAAATAAACAAAATGTTCAAATAATAATAATCATAACAGTCAGCCTCCAGCATAAATTAATGTTAGTGGCCTCCAACGTGCAAAAACATCCGCATAACACATTTGAGTGAGTTGTTTTATTATACATAATAAAATTTAAATTGTTTAAATTTAAATTTTAAATTGTTTAAAACATACTTTGAAGAAGAAAGAAAATAAATTGGATTCACAGGTGTGCAGACCCCCAAAACATGGGGCTCTAGGGAACCTAGTTTTAAAACCCCTGGCCTCACTGAATAAGATCCAGGCTCCTCAACATGGCACTCAGGGCCCTTCCTGGGTCTCTGACACTCCTCCAACTCTCCTCCCAAAGACCCTGCATTCTCCCACCCAGGTGCGTCCCCGTGCCTTTTACCCACCCAGTTTCTATCTCTGTCTGGGAAAACCTATCCATTTGGGCTTTAAAGGTCAGCTCAAATGCCACCTCTACAGAGCCTAACCTAGTGGGCAGTCCCCCTTTCCCTCTGCTCCCACTGCACTTGCAAGGTCTCCCTCAGTGCAGCGTGAGCTCCTGAGGCGGGGACTCAGCCTACACCATCCCTCAGCCGCGTTGCCGAAGGGGCCTGGCAGAGCTGCAGAAAATGACTGTTGACAGGTGGGCCTCCTGGGGTAGGGTCTTTGGAGGGTAGGGGCAGGACACTGAAGGTCAGGAGGATGCTCTGTGCCAGCCTCTATTCTCAGTCTCTTCGGCAAGCTCTGAGGGGGTGAGCGCGGCCCAGGGGCCAATCCAGAACTTGATGAGGGTTGTTTGCCCTCATCAACAACTTGTCGGATGGGAAGAGGACCTCTCTCCTCTGTGACTTCTGCAGGGCTGAGACCATCACGGGTGGAGAGAGGACGTTAATGCTCACTGCGAGGGGAGCAGAGCCCAAAGCTGAGGCACAGAGGTCTGCGTTGGGAGCCCAGAACCAGGGAAGCAGAGCCCTGAGTGCACCCTTAGGACGCAGGGAGCACGGCACCCCAGCCCAGGACGCAGGGCCCTGAGCCAGACCCCAAGCCGAGAGGCTCGGGTCGGAAGAGAAGTACCCACACGGCAGAAACCGGAGCGCACAGCGAGGAGCCGGGTTTCCCGAGTCCGATTACTAGGGCCCGGGTCGCTACCCCGGCGCCACGGATCGGCACTGCCAACGAGTACTGCCAATGCGCCCCGTGCAGCCTGCTCCGAGAGGGGCGGAGACGCTCCGAGGGGCCTTGAGCTGCACCCAGGTGACAGCATGGGGGAGGGGGACCCTGGCGTGGAACACGAGCCCCGAAAAAAAAAAAAAAAAACACGGAGCAGAGCTCCCAAAATAAACCCGAGCCTGCGCCAACGGCGGGGCGCATTCTGGTGCTGAGGACCTGCGTCCCCTCGCGGAGGGGCACCGCGGGTCCCTGTGCCGGGAAGGGGGGGGGCTTGCGGCCCCACCCCCCGGTGACCTTCCCCTTCCCTCCCTCCACCCGCACGCCCCGTGTTTACCGATTTGGGTTTCTTCTTGGGCGCGAGTTTGTCGGAGAAAGCGTTGGCTTCCTCCCAGCGCGGGGCCGCGGCGGTCTCTGCCCCCGGCCCGGGCTCACGGGGTTCCCGGGGCTCCCCGGCTTCCATGCTCCGGTTGTGACCCGACCAGGGAGGGCGGCAGCGGAGACTCGGAGCTCGCCGGGCTGGGCTGCGCGTCCCGGGCGTGAAAAGGGGACGGGCAGCGGCGGGGAGTGTGGGCGAGTGAGCCGGCGGGAGGGCGGGGCTGGGGGCGGCGGTGCCAAGCTCGCGCTCTCGGTCGGGGCGCCCGGGTGTTGCCGCGGTGGTGCGCGCGATCGGAGGACAGCTGGGCTCTCCGTCCCCGCCGCCTCGCGCCCGGGGTGAATGGGGTGGTTGCGCCGGGCGGGGTTTGGCCTCTCGGGCTCTCAGGTGGAGGAGGCCTGAAGCGGGGCTTGCGGGCTGCTGCGGATTCAGGACTGCGGGGAGAGGGGCGGCCTGACAAAAGAGAAAATGAAAAGGTAGCTGTCCCCCGCCCCGCTCCAAAGTTAACCCTTTCCCCCTCTGTTGCAATGACCGTGGGACCCTGAGCGGCTTTCCCTTAAACCGTAGTCCATTCCGCGGAAGAGGAGGTAGTGGATGCACAGCCCCGTTACCAGCAGGAGCCCGCTTCCAGCCCGGCAGCTCTTCCCCACCAAGGCAGAAGGGCCCTTGAAGTCCGTGTTGAGTCTAGGCTCTCCTCTGCCTGGTGGGGTACCCCGACCTGAGAGACACCCAGAGATTCTGAGCCCGAGTTCTTGCTGGGCCCTCGATAGCCAGCAGAGGGCGCGCACCCCCAGGTCCCAGCTGTCAAGTTTGGGATGCTCAGTTACAGGCTATGAAGTGGCTGGATGGATGGAGGGTGGAAGAGAAGCCTCAGAATCAGACACGTGGACCACCATCCTGGAGTTTCAGGGCATTGGTGGAGAACCCTGGATGCAGACATTAATGCCTTTCATCCCAAGGCACAGGCCAGGAAACGGACAAGGGGCATCTCCGTGTGAGCCTAGAAGAGTGTACAGGTGGGTAGGAGCAGCAGGAGAAAATGCTGGCTTAGCCTGGGGGGCATCTGCCTGGAAGAGGGTACGGAACAGAGGGACCCAGACAGACGCTGCCATCCTGGGAGGAACTAACCAAACCTTGGGTGGGAGGAAGGGGAAAATAATAACAAAAAAAGTTTTAGGATTGGGGAAGTGTTTCCACTTCCCCTTCTCAAGCCTCGGTAGATTCTTTCCATAGATGACCCCAAACTCTTTCCCACCCTCCCTGCCCTTTAGTGATATGACTTTGACATGTCTCCCATCCAGAGGTGGAACTGACTCTGAGCTGACCTGGTGTCTTGTTTTAACTAATAGAATGCCGTAGAAGCAACGTTATACAGTTTCTGAGCTTAAACCTTAGAGGCCTTTCAGATTCCATTGTTGCCCTTTTAGGATTCAGCTACTAGGTAAAGAAGTCTGGACTGCCTCCCAGAAAGTCCACATAGTGAGACGGAGCAGCCCTGGAGGATAAGTAGCCAGTGGAGAACAGTCACTTCCCCAGCTACTGTCAGCATCAATTGCTGGGCACATGAGTGAGGCCATTGCAACTGTTCCAGCCCCAGCTCGGTGCCAGTGAGGTGTGACCCCAGCCATTATGCAGGAAAACCTCCCAGCAGAGCTCAGCCAACCCACAGAATCATGGGGGAAAAAAGTCATTTCAAGCACTAAGTTTTGGGGTCGCTTGTTACACAGCAATAAATAATGAAACTCTAGGAAGGGGTCAATTATTCTCAGGTGCCTCATGGAGGCGGAGGAGGCCACTTAGGAAGAACGTCTGGGGTGGTTACTTGGGTGGGAGTGAGCACCTGACACAAGGGTGAGCCATCCCCATGCTGTCCAGTGACCTTTGACTTGTGGGGCCTGGGCTAAAAAGTTGACCTGGGCCAGATCAGCTTTCGGAATTGGGAATTGGGAAACAGGGACTGGAAAGCTTCACGAGAGTGAAGCTGAGGATGCTGTGAAACAGTGTCCGAGAGATCTGGGCGAGCCTGAGTGAGCAGTGGTCATGTGCAACATACAACTAAGAGGGCAGAAGCTCTGTGAGCAGAATGGGCCGATGTGCAGGAGGCAGCACAGACCTCCCGGAAGAGGACCCTGCTGCCCTGAGCGGGAGCTGCCTCTGGTCCCAGCAGTTGCCCAAGTCCCAGCTGAGGTCCTGGCTACAGTGCCCACCTCTAAATTTCCATAAAATTCTCCATAGCACTTCAACAAATGCCCCCCGGCCCCCAAAAGTTGGTGGCTACTGTTTTTTGTTTGTTTGTTTGTTTGTTTGTTTTTGACTAGCAACCTAGCAACCTTTCCCACCCTCTTCTTCTGGTAACTGGCCCTGGTCGCAGAAGTAGGCATGTGACTTAGGCCTGACCAGTTGTAGAACCCTGTATCCTTGGACACAGCGATGACACCAAGGATGAGCGTGTGGCCCCGGCTGGGCCACTCTCCGTATAGGAGTACTGACAGATCTGACTCTTTCTTCTCCGAGGTTATTACTTTGAGACAATGGGGTTTGGAAACCCATTTCCCCTGAGGCAGGTGAGAAATCAGGGGAAATGCCCAGTCTGGAGGACAGTGAGGTCACACGGAGAGGGAAGCAGAAGCAGGGAGGGGATGGTGTGCAACATCGAGCCTCTGGATCCAGCAGAGCCTGAACTTCCCAATTTCATGAGCGGCTAAGCCTCCCTTTTCACTTGAGCTTGTTTGAATTGGCCTCAACTAATCCAGCCCGCTTTACTTGGAGACTCACACAGATGTCCAGCTCATCGGACAGGGAGTCGCAGGGGAAGCTGTAGGATAACTGTGGCGGACTGTGTATCCACCAGGGGCCCACTGTTTGAGGTTTGGGTTTCACAGATGAGATCATCGAGAGGGGACAATAAATGGGTGGCCCAGAGAGGGGCGATGGCTTGTGTCCAGGTGCAGAAGCCTAAGAGATCCCTTAGGGAAATTCAGGGTGTCTCAAACGTAGGGTGCAGGAGAGGGAGGTGGCGGAAGAACAGGCTTTTGAGGTCGGCAGGTGGAAGATCGTGCCGGACCTTGAGACACTTTTAAGGAGTTTATGATACTGAGGGCAGGGGAGACTTTTGAAGAGTCGACATGGTCAGATTTGTGCTTTAGAGGTGAGGAGGGCCTGAGGGGCAAGTTTTTTAGGAGATCTTAAACATCCAAGTCAGGCAGGAGACAGGACACCCCATCCCCCCAGTGTGGCTTCAGCTGGGAATAGCAGCCCCAAGTTCTCGGACTTCTGAGTCACCTTCTTAGGTTCATGGTTGCCCTGAGGCCAGGTCAGCCTCCTTCCTCCATCCTAATTGCTTCCTGCCAAGGAAGCTGGCCCCCTCCCAGCGTCCTTGAGAAAGCCCTTGTAAAAAGCAACTGAGTGTTTCAGGAGCAAGCAGGCGCCGGGCAGCTGCCCCTGCTCCCAACGCCCATTAGGGAAGAGCGCCTCTCTGAGTATTGAGGGCTCTTCTGAGAAGAACACTTCACCACCAACTCCCATCCCCAGCCCCTACCATACTTGGGTCAGTGAGGGTCTCAGGGCTCTGGGCTGGGCTCCTGTGAGTGGTGCAACACAGAGTCCCCAACACTTTTGGCATCAGGGACTGGTTTTGTGGAAGACAGGGATAGAGGGTAGGTTGTGGAATCACACAGGAGGTGGAGCCAGGTGGCCGGGATTGGGGACTCCTGGTGTGACAAGCAGGTAATGCACTGCACAGCCCGTGGCCAGCAGGTCAGGTGGGGGCTGAAATTCTGGTCTCGCTCCATGTGCATCCTGGCATAAGAGGCTGTGTTTGTTCGGAAGAAGGGGCATGTTTTTCTAATTAGCCCAAGGATGCCATCCGCTGGTCTGGCTGCATACCTACGGGGGTGCTTCCACTCAGAGGGGGCCCCTTTTCCTAACTGGTGCAGAGGGCACCACGTGGACCACTGTGACACTGGCTCCCAACCTTTCTCCCCAGTGCCCACTATCCACTCACCTGGGCTTGCACTGGACAGAGGGAGAACTAAGCCCCACTATCCGCCTCCACTAGCTCCCTTCTGGGGGAACTGCTCCACCTGTAGACCCCACACAGCAGCATCTGGCCTGGCCATAGACGACTGGACCAAGGGGTCCCACCAAAAGCTAAGCTGAACCAATCAGATTCTTTTGCTTGAGACACAGAGTGTTGTCATCACTGGTGAGTCTTGATATAGGGCTAGGACGCAGCCACTTTGTGCAGGGAAAACTAGAAAATCTGAAGAGAAACCAAGGAAGAGTATACAAATGCAAATATTGACAAGGGGTGAGAGCCTGTGAGGCCCAGAGAAAAGAGAGAGGCCCATTCTTAGTTCTAGTTCATATAAGGCCCACTCGTTCTTGATTTTCCATCTTCAGGGTCTCTTGTAATCTGCTCAATCCTTTCTTTGAACTATGCAGTGGGGTCTCTGTTTCCCGTAACCAGAGCCCTTGCTAGAATGAGGACCCCAGTCCCAAGGAGTTGCTGAGGTGCTCCCAGGTGTGAGCTCCCCTGCCCCCTCCCCCCAGCCCTATCCCAGCTCAGAGAAGAGTAGGAATTCTCAGCACAGTCACACCTTTTATTCACTGTCAGTGAAAAAAACACCACACAGCACAGGGTTGAACAGTGAGGACAGTCACTGTGAGCACAGCCAGGAGCAGCGCATCTGAAGGGGACAGGCGCCACAGCGGTGAGTTGGGAGGGCCCCCTCTGCCACCCACCACCCCGCCTGCCCCAGGCCTCCTCACTCCCAGAACCTCCACTGAGCAGGAAGGGCCGGACACCCCGGGAGGCCTGGGCCTGCCCCCCCACCCCCGCACCCTGGCAAAGGTAAAAGAAAACCCTGAAAATTTCAGAAAGACAATCCCATATTTTTCTGAGACTTTTCAATGGCAAGATTTGAATTTTTTCAAAAGTGATGAATAAAATATGTAGGAAATGTATTCTTCCCCACAATGATCTCTAAAGTCAGCACAAAGCCTCGCCCAGGGTGGATCTTCAGGAAATATTTGTTGCTTTAGTAAATTTTTGTGTAAAAATATTTACAGTGTCAGCTTACTACCTTGCCTAGAAACCTCAGCTTATTCTCTTACTCTCTTTCTCTCCCCTCCCCTTGTCTCTCTCTCTCTCTGCAGAATGAATTTCTACCTCTAGGGACTCTGCCATCGTCAGGAAAACATACAGAGCCTTTGCATATAACCTTGTTTTTTCTTAGTTTTTGATTCCAGGTAAGTTATGTAATCCTGACTAGAGCCCAAAGGGCTGGAGTGGCCATCTGAAGTAGCCCTTGCTGATGAGTTTTAGGGATAGGAAGGAACTCATCAATTAGCTCAAAGGTTGAATGAAAGCAGAATACAGTTAGAAGGCAGAAGTTATAATTTTGCAATTCAGAGTTGCTGCAAGAAGATACAGAACTTCAAAGGGGAGTTTGTATATATCACTGTTTTAACTATCTGTGTATCTTTGAGTCTATGCGAGTCATACTGCAATCTCTATTAACTGTGTGCTTTGTGGCAGGTCCCTCCTGGCTGGGGCAGAGATGGGAGGACTGCCTCCCTTCTCACGGCAGGGCCAGGGCTCGACCACAGCAGCGTACGGGAGCAAGGCCTGGCCTGCCTGGGGCTCCTTCCATTAGCAAGATGGTGGGCCTGGTTCCTGGCCTGGCGTTATGTGTCCAACACTGATGGGCCATGTGAGAATCTTTGGTCTCGCCAGCAAACATCACCCAGGGGTATGTGTCCAAAAGCTTGGAGTGATCAAACACGCCCTCACAGGTTAGGACTTGCCTACCAGTTGGGAAAAAACAAAAGCAGTTCTCTCAGGGAGGAAGATGATGGTAAAGACAGTGCAAGATGCTTCCTGGATGGGTTCTGAGTCAGAAGCCTCCTAGGACAGCATTGACTTGTTAGCAGAGCTTCCTAGAAACAGAAAACAAGATACTTGAAAATGTGGAGTCTTCAACCAAGATTGGGTTTCTTTTGGGGAGACCACGGACTCAGCAGGAAGCTTTTAAAAGACCATAACCAACTTAGCTTGCCCCACAGTCGACCTCTGTATAACTCAGTCAAATAAATGAGCCCGAGAAAGACCCACCTGCTTAGAGCCTTGGGTTCAAGTCTCGGTGCTGTGCCAATTCCTGACTGTGTGCTTTTGCACCATGGATGCACTGTGCCTCAGTTTCCAAGTCTGGAGAAAGGGAATGAAAATCCTCACTTCCTTAGGCTTTGAGTGTAAAATGGGATGGAGTAGGTGGCAAGCCTTTGAAAGCTGTAAGTTCTATGTGATTCGGAGCTGGGTTGGATTCAACGTTTGGGGGAGAGGAACCTCATTTTGTAAAAAGTCTTCCAGTGGAAGTATCAGCTGAGCCAGACCGTTGAGTGTCTGTACCTGTGGTGCACTGATAGCACAAGACACACCCAGTGGGCAGCTCCTGGGAGCAATGGGACATCCTGAAGTGTCACTAGATAAAAGCATTCTGGTGACTGACTGAGGATGTGAGTTCCCCAGCTTTACCATGTGGCTGGTCCTAGGAGGAGAGAAAGAGGGTGGGAATCCAGTGGCCTTGCTACCTCCAAGAGCAGCAAGAAGAAAGGTCCAATAGAGTTGGGGGCCAAAGGTCAGCATCCCCTACAGCAGGGGTGTCAGACTCATTTTCACCAGGGGCCACATCAGCCTCGTGATTGCCTTCAAAGGGCCAAATGTCATTTTAGGACTGTATAAATGTAACTACTCCTTAACAGTTAAGCGACAGCTCAGTGCTGCTGCTGGGTAGACACAAGGTGCAGAGCCGGATAAAACAAGGTGGAGGGCCAGATTCGGCCCACGGACCTTGTGATTGCCCCCTGTGTCCTAGAGTTTTCACCTGCAGAGAGGGAGGGAAGGTGAACACTCAGAAGCAAAATGCATGCTAGCTGCATTGCTTTCCTGCTGATACAATCCACACCCCCCAACTCAGCAACCATTCCCTGCTCCCACCCTGGGCTGACAGCACCTGTGTACTAGACTGTTTTCACCTTTCACCAGCAGTTCAAGAGGAAATCAATCATCACTGCGCATCAAAGCTAATTTCTAACTACGAGTATGGGAGAGTGTAAAGTGAGACTTGGAGAAGCAGGATGAGTTTTCTAGCAAAGCATGCAGCTGTATAGCTCATGGACCCAGAATCAGAAAGCAGACGTTGGAAAGTGAAGCCAGTGCACCGAGAAGACAACGAATTACCTGGCAAATTCAGGATGTGGGGTTTGAGGAGGCTTTTCACACATAGCATGCCCAGTACATTTTCAAGCATTTGGTCCATCAACGCAGCCTGGCAGCCTAGAGAGTGGCCAGGTGGTCCTCTTCTTCTAGCTCCTTCTGCTCCGGTAGCAGTGAAAGAACAAGCCCATCCTTGAAAGTAGACCAAATCTACCAAGGAACTACCAAGATGTGGGAAATGCACAGCCTCACTCTGGGCAAATCTTGTGTGTGTGTGTGTGTGTGTGTGTGTGTGTGTGTGTGTGTGTGTGTTTCTGCAGACAGCACCCGACCAGGGAGAGTGTGCAACAGCGTTGTTCACTGCACTGAAAGAGATCATCAGAAAGGAAGCTGCTGATGGTGCAGCTGAGGATGTAGCCTGATAAGAAAAGGTGTTTTCTGGTGAGTTTAGTGGTATTTTCCCTCCTTTTTTCTCAGCTCTTTTTCCCCCATGAAAAGTGGCATTTCTACATTCATTTGATCATTTTATAAGAAATTGAGTAATATAAAGTATGTTTTAATACCCTAAACTAATAAAATGACTTCAGCTCCTTTTAAGGGTACTGAAAAAATAAGTATTACATAAATTTTTCTTAAAACTTCCACTCATATGGCTCCTAAACTTCCAAACACTTTTCATTTCATCCTCTGCCGCTCTGTGTAGGACTGAGTGGAAAGATTCAATAGTTCCTCTCAAGTTAACCGGCTTTACCGGCTGTGTTGGACATCCCCATCTGTGACTCTGACCACTGGAAGCCCGCCTTACTGCTCTAGGAGCTTCCAGATGACACAAAATGTGTCTTGTAGGCCACCATATCCTTAGCACCTGCAGGTGTCTGGCATCGAACAGGTGCTCAGTTAAGTGTTAGCTGAAGAAAGAACTGAATGAATGCTCCGAAGATGGGGGCCAGAAGGGTAGAGTCCAGGGAGCAGGGCAGAGACCACCTTTAAGGGATCTAGGTCTTCAGCACAGGACAGAGCCAATTTGGCCCTTTAACTGGGGTGTGTGGGAACACATTCTACAAAGCATAATCCCAGGAAGAACAGACTTTCAAAGCAGAACACCATCCTCCCTCCTTAACCCTACTGGTAGGTAGGGGCAAAAGCCAACTTGCCCTATGACCAGTGGGTGTCAGTTCTGGGCCAAGACTGGGGTGGTGCTAGACCACGGGATACCTGCAGATCTGTCTCTTTTCCAGGGTGAGGTGGTCCCTCAAAGATCTTGACTGAGGGAGCAAAGGCTTGGACAGAGGGGTGGGTGGGCCAGAGGGTGAAACTGGAGTAACTGTCCCCCAGGGGAAGGGCCAGCCAGAGAGGTCACGGGGTTGGGAGGTGGCCACGTTCCTCCTGGCCAGGGGCCCTGCCCCTCACCAGCCTCCATTCTCTATTTCTGCATGTCGCACTGCAGCAGCAACACAATGGATGGGTCGCTCTTGGCCGCCTCCTTGAACTCCTCCAGAGTAATCTGGTCATCCTTATCCTGGTCCATCTTCTTGAAGATCTTGTCCACACGCTGCTGGGGCGTGAGCCCATCCTGGTTCATGCGCATCATGATCACGGTGCCCACCATCTTGTAGATAGCCTGGTGAGGCACAGGGGGCAGGGAGGTTTGGGGGTCAATGGTGGGGGTTGGGAGTGGGCAGGGAGAACACTGGGAAATGTTGAGGATGCTGGCAGGTGATCTAAGGTCATTTGGATGGCTTATTTAACGAGCACCTCAAACTAATGTGTCTGAATCCCAACTCTTCGCTTCCAACCTGCTCCTCCCCAGACATGCGCTGTCTCAGGAAATAGCGAATTCATTCTTTTGGTGGTTCAGACCAAAAACCTTGACACCGTTCTTGACTATCCTTCTCTTGCACCCATATCCAATCCTTCAACTGACCTTGTCAGCCCTGATTTTGCAATAAATCCCATATCTAACCACTTCCACTTAGTGATTCTCCACAGCTGTCACCTCCATCAGCTCCTGACTGGGCTTCTGTGGAAGTGGAAGCCTCCGAACCAGTCTCCTTGCTTCGGGTGTTCTCCCCACACGCCTTAGTCTATTCTCCATACAGACTGGAGTGAGCCATGATTGGCTTCCCATCTCACTCAGAATAGTCAAGTCTCTGCCCCAGGCGATGAGATGCTAAGTATCTGACCTCCTTCCCACCACTGTCCCCTTGCTCACCTCTCGCCACCACCCTGGCCTCCTGACCACTCCTTGAACACTGCAAACACAATCTCCAGGGTCTTTGCATTTATTATTTCCCGTGCATAGAACCTCCCTCCCCAGACATCTAAGCGGTTAGCTCCCTCACCTCATTCAGGTAGCTGCTCACATTTCACCTCAGAAAATTGCTTTCTTCCATGCTCTCTCTCCCTTGTGCTTTGCTTATCTTCTTTATAACAGTTACTGCCTAACATAACATAGTTTTGTTGTTTTAAATTTTCTCACTAGAGAAAACGTCCCATGAAAGCAGGACCTTTGAACAGTGCCTGGCATGTGGCAGGCATTCAATACATAATTGTTGAAAGAATAATGAGCTATGGGAACTGTGGCTCTGGAGTCACACTCCCCTGGATTTAAATCACGAACCACCAGTTGCTACGTTTCCTTATAAAACGGGGTTTCTGGCAGTACCTTGGGTTGGTGGGTAAAGCACTTACCTGTCCAACACCAAGCACCCAACCCATGCTACTTAGCCACCTGCGAGGCCGGAGTTAGGGGCGGGGGGCGGTGCCGGGGAGGCTCCCGAGGCCCGGAGGAGCGGAGGAGCGTGTGGGCCAGAGATGGCGGCACCAGAGAAGGGCCCGGCCGCGAAGACAGGGGGCGCGCCACCCCAGCACATCCCGGCCTCCGGGACCCAACCCCAGCCAGCACACCTCGATGATCTCCAGCATCTCCAGGCGCGTGATGCGCCCGTCGCCGTCCAGGTCGTACATCTCAAAGGCCCAGTTGAGTTTCTGCTCGAAGCTGCCCCGGGAAGTGACCGAAAGGGCGCAGATGAACTCCCGGAAGTCGATAGTGCCGTCGCCGTTCTTGTCGAAGGTGCGGAAGGCGTGCTGGGCAAACTTGGAGGCGTCACCATAGGGGAAGAACTGAGGAGGGGGCGCGGGGGTGGGGCTCAGCGGCAGCCGCGCCCCCACCAGCCCCGCCCCCTGGGCGCCTGGCCCCGCCCCCGCCCGCCCCCTGGCACGCCCACCTTGATGTAGAGCTGCTGGAACTCCTCCAGGTTGAGGATGCCGCTGGGGCAGTCCTTCAGGAAGCCCTTGTACCACTGCTTCAGCTCCTGCTCGCTGAACTCGGTGTTCTGAACCAGGTCCTCCAGCACCTCTGGGGCCAGCTTGCTGTTGGTCTTCCCCATGGCGGGGCCTGGGAGACAGGTACAAGGCCCTCACCTCAGCAGCGGTCCTCCAAGTCTGTAAACCAGGGTTCCCTTTCTTTACAACAGCCCCCACCCGTGGCAAACTCACATTCCCACAGCCGGGATCCCTCCTTCCACAGCAGGGTCTTATCCTCTCACCACCGCGCTCAACAAGCCCCATCCTACAGCCAGGCTCTATCCTTCACCCATCCCTTCCCACAGGATTTCTCACCTCTCCTCCCCACCCTACCTGCCCCACAACACGGGGGGGGGGGCCTTCCCCTCATTACCTTCCCCCATAAAAGGGCCTCTGCGCCAGGTCGCTCCTCTCTCCTCTTACAGGTTTCTACTCCTGGCACCCAGATCTCTAGCCTTTCAGGTCTCACTCAGCTCTCCTCTTTTTCACTGACGGGTGCTGCATGCCACATCCTTCACCCTCGCCTCTCCTCTCCAGTTTAACCTTCCATAGCTCCCCACGCCCATAGACTACAGTCTTAATTCCCTCCTTGCTTTTCAGATCTTTCACACTCAGTGCCACCTGCCTCTCAGGTTCCTCTCCTACCAGGGACCGGAAGCAGGCTCCTCATGTGTCCCCCACTGGCACCATTTCCCAAGTTCTCCCTCAAGGCCTTCCAGGCCATCCCAGCAGGAAGCTTCTCTCCCGCTTTCTTCCGTACAAGTAGAACTCCTAGCTGGTAGCATTGATGGCCCTGACTACATCCATCTTTTCATTAGTTCCCTCATTCCCTGAGCATTGTTGAGGCTGACTGTGTGGCAGGCCCTGTGCTTGTCATGTGGGTAAAGTAGACACGAGCCAACTTTCAATAACTCATATTTAGGTCAAAGAGGTAGGTGGCTGATTATGAAGGACCTTCAATCCATGCCAAGAAGTTTGGCCTTTACCCAGAGGGGACAGAAGCTGTTGGGGCTTTAAAGCAAGGGCTAGGAAGATAGCATTCATTCCACAACCCTTACAGAATGCTTCCAGTATGGCAGGTCCTGAACTAGGTACTGGGGACCCAGGGAGAAGGATTGTGTTTTAGAATTTTTCCTTTGGCTACAGTGTGCAAGATGGCCTGGGTGCGAGCGGTAGGAAGAACAGAGAAGAGCCTGCTACACAGTGCGGGTGAGAGGTGAGGACGCCGAGGTAAGGGCTGTGGAGAAATTGGGATGGGCTGAGAGCTGTTAGGAGAGGACATTGGCAGGACTTGGTGACTGAATGGATGTGGGGTGAGAGGGACGGAGGAATTTGGGCAGGTGCTCAGATCCGAGGTTAAGTGGCTGAAGCAATTTGGGGGTGGATGCAGAGTGAGTCCTCAGCTGGAACACAAGCCCCTCGGGTAGCCTATGCCAGGAGAAGTGTTTTCAGAGTGTACAGCCCTCTCCAGGAAGACTGGCCACAGTGATGCTGCACCAGGCCCTGGAGGCTGGGTGGACAGCCTGTCTGGATTCCATGGGAGGAATGTCTCTCCAGAGCTTGGGTTTCCCAAGACATGGCCTGGGAGGGGACCTTGACCTGCTTGGAGTCTTTGGAATGGCACCAGACTCCAACCCCAGGGTAGTCTGTCATGAAGACACTCTGGAAAAGGAAGCCCTCAGGTCAGCAGAAGGAATGCCGTTTTTACAGCCCAGCCCAGGCTAGTGTGGCTGCTAATCTTTACTGCTGGGAGCTCCATAAACAACCAGAAATCGGTTTGTTCCATACCCCCTCCTTTGCTGCATGACCTCAAGTTAGTTACAGGATATCTATGAGCCTCAGATTACTCTCACGGGCCAGGAGGAAGATCAAGGAGCAGTGGGGGTAGCATCCTCCCCCACCTACCACCCTCAGAGGATGAGGAATCCTGTATGTCCCTAGGAGAAGCCAGGGAGAAGGATGCATGACATCTTCAGGAACCTGGAAATGTGGGGTTCAAAACAGCTGTACTGGAACCAGAGGCAAGGGCGCCTCTGGAACACCATGGGCAGAAGGAGGCAGGCTCCAAACTCAGTGGCCCCCTCCACAAGTCCAAAGCACACCGAAGACTCAGGGTATAGCCAAGGAAGCAGAGATCCCAGAGGTGGAGGTGTCTGATGGGCGAGGCAGAGCCCCTGTCGCTGTGTCCTGTGAAATGCGCCTGAGCGTCTGCATGAGGTGCGGGCTGTGGGTGGCAGCACGCCAATGCACGAGACTGCAGATCCACCAGAGCGCACTGTCGCTGTGTGTGTCCTAGTGTCTGTGTGGCTCTCACCTCCTGCACCTTTTCTGCCCCTGCCCACAATTCTCTATCTGGGGCTATACCTGTTCCTGGCCCCCATTTGGTCCCAGGCCCACCAAGGACTGTCTCCTCCTTCATCTCTCCTTATTTCCTCTAGCTCTCCAATCAGCAGGTCAAAGCTGGCAGTGCCCTTTAAGATCATCTGCTTATGATAGTGAAAATGCAGAGAGTTACACAGTGGGTCAGTGGTAGGGCCCAGATAAGCACCTCAGCTGAATCCGTGCTACTGCCTGAACCACCCCCTCCAAATCATGGCTACTTTTGTCCAGTTCAAGCCTTCCCCACCCCTACTTGCCTTTTGGGGACACCATAGTTTTGATCTCCCTCTTAGCCTCAGTGAGACCATCTTGCTGAGCTCCAGGCGATGGTGTCTGACACCCAGGAAATATCCACCCCTTGGGGTAGCCCACCAGCAGCTATAACCCAGCACATCTACAACCAAACTCATCTTCAACCTATAGCTGTCCTCTCTCCATTGCCCCTTCCTTCCCCCTCATCCCAAGGGGGAAATGCTATGTTAGTTACCTTTAGTTTTCCCCTCTCCCTTTTCCCCAGGTCCAGCTTGCCACCAAATCTTATTGTTCCTTCTTTTGAAGTGCTCAGGGAAACTTCATTATGTTGATTCTCTCACCATAGTCAGGGCCAAAGGCACAGCCAAGGGGGCTGAATGAAGTACAGCTGGGACCCCACTGGGCAAGCCATGCCTGTAGACTCAATTGCCGCAGAGGAATTTCCTATGACTCCTCTCTACCAAGAGAATGTCTTTCCTAGTTTTGCCCAGAAGTACAATATAGGCAAGAGGTAGCCATGTCCACAGGCCCCCTCAAACTCCAGAATTCTGTAGAATCTGGTGTCAAGGTGCCCACCTGTCCAGCCTCACCTCCCATGGCTCCCCTCACAACTATATACTCCTTTCAAAGCCAAGCCTCTCACAGCCAGAACCTGCCTCACCTATTGCTTACCTGGTTTCCTCTCCCCTAATACCCTTCCTTCTTTCCTGGACTCATGCAGCTATAATCAGCCTGTGGGCCTGGACAGTCAGCAGCATAGAAGCAGCACTTTGGGCATGAGTAGACCTGCGAGGCTATGGAGTTGAGCCCCACAACCATGGAGGTCTCTGACCCTCATCTGGAGCTCTATGAATTCTAGAATGGAGCCTGACTTGGGAGAGGCCTTTGCATTAAACCCTTGCCTCCACCATAAAAAGTTCTCCAGACCTTTTTGCTCAATAGCAAAAGCTTATCCCCTCCCAATACCACCCAGTCCACTTTGGAGAAGCTCAAAGAATAAGAAAAGTGCTCTTCTTATGGTTCCTAAGTTTGTCCTCTTGTAGCTGCCCCACACGCATTCCCACTCTGTCCCTCTGTGGCTGTTCAGAACTGCCCTGCAGAGACATAGGGGCGGTGCCCAGAACCCAGTGATGTTCAGTGAATGTCCCTTGGTGGATCACATGAGGGACAGAACCTCGTCTTCCTCCATAGAACGGCATCAGCCTGTTTTATCTGCGTTCTCCTGCCATTGCACCAACTTCAGAGACAATGTAAGCCAGACCCGGCAGAAGGAAGGGTTCACCCAAGGTAAAGCAGAGCCCATCAGCAGCAAGGCAAAGGCCAGAATGCACTGGGGGCATGTTCTGTTGGCACTGTAGCCCTGCTGATGGTGCGCAGGCTCCTTTGCTCACCTCTTGCGGGCTGCCCTCCAGCTGTGAAGGAGCTGGCATGAGGCCATACACAAAGCCAGTGCCCTGTGTGCCCAGAGGCTTCTTGCAGAGGGCAGAGTTCAGGGTTGTGGGCTTCAGATGGGGAGATGGCAGTGAGGGTAGGAGGGACTGAGGGATGTGATAATCCCACACCCTCACCCAGCTTCAGAGAAGCTGGTGCTGAGATGGTTGCCATGGTGACAACAGCTCCCTGGTCAGGAGATTTTTTCTCTTTCCTCTCCTTCCTTTGCTCTTCTCCAAGCAGCAGCCATAGTGGCAGCAGCCAGATCTTCTCCCCCTCCTTGCTAATGAGAGGCAGGGGATAATAAACAGGGTGTGGGCCCTGTTGGCCACTTCTGCACTGGGGCTGTCTATGCCATGTGGGCTGCTGGTCTAGGAGGGACTCCTACCAGCCAAGAAGGGGCCCAGGCTTGGAGAGTGTGTATGTGGGGGGTTGGGGTTGGCTGGGACCTAGGCCTGTGTAAGAAGCAACGTCTCGGCTCTGGCTGGTATAGCTCAGTGGATTGAGCACAGGCTTGCGAACCAAAGCATCGCTGGTTTGATTCCCAGTCAGGGCATATGCCTGGGTTGCAGGCCATATTGCCAGTATGGGGTGTGCTAGAGGCAACCACACATTAATGTTTTACTCCCTTTCTTTCTCTTTCCCTTCCCCATCTCTCTAAAATAAGTAAATAAAATCTTTAAAAAAAAAAAGAAGCAATGTCTCTTCAGTGAGAACTAGAGCTCCCAGGCCTCCTCTTTGAAACATCCTCATGATTCAAGGATAGAGGGAAAGGGTCCTGTTTTCTCATAACCAACCATAGAACCAGAGTGTGTCATGGTTTGAGAGCTGTTCAAGATCATCTCATCCAGCCCACCCTTGGTCCTGACCCCTTCCTCATTTCATGAAGGATCAGAGAGGGAAGTGACTTGGCCAAAGTCGGACATTACGGAGGCAGAGGCGACACTTGAACCCAGCTCTTCTGCCCCCCGGGAGCAATACAGTCCACATGGAGCTTCGGCACAGCTGCCGCAGAGCAGCAGGAAGATAGGAACTCAGATGGAGTGAATGGGTACAAGAAGGCCAGAGAAGGTACAAATTAGAACGATATTTGAGAGGAAAAATAAGAGGACTTGGTGCTCTGAGGGGTGAGGGGACTGGAGGAGGTGGGACCTTTACAGCAGTGATTGACAGGTATGAGTGGTCTACTGGGCGGTGGAGCCCCTGGTTCGAGCAGGTGGGCACCTTGACACCAGATTCTTCGACCAGGACGAAAGAGGCCAAACGTGGGGTCTTTGCCTAGCACTGAGACCATGGAGAGGGGACGCTGCTGAGAGAGTGTTCTGAGAAGCCAGGAGGGAGGTTTGGGGTGTTTTAAGAGGGGGAGGAGCCGAGCTGCCGGTGGGGCTGGGTGACGTGGGTGGGGGCTATCTATGGAGGCGGGAGGTTGCTATGGGACTAAGTGGATTACCTGTCTCCAAAGGAGGGAGGTCGACTGGTGCCTCCTCTAGTACCAGCAACACTGCACCCCCAGGTGTGTGTGTGGGGGTGTGGTGGGGGCCAGAGCCGCGGTTGTTCTTACCTGAGCTAGGGATAAGGAAGCAGCTCTGCCCCCTTTCCTGGCACCCATGGGACCGGGACTTGGGTGGGGGTCCACCCTCCAGATGCTGCACCCTTTGGCAGAACCTGGGGTCAGGGAGATGAATCAGAGCGGGCAGGACACGAGGCTGAAAATGGAGAGTGGAGGGTGAGGGGACAAGGGCCTCCGCCCAGCCCCACCCGCGTTACCTGAGGCGGCTCAGCAGGTCGCTGGATGGCTCCGAGCCTCAGCCGGCCTCTGGGACCAAGACTGGCTCGCAGGTTGGCGGCCAGGTTCTCAGAGGTCCGCGCCGGAGACACCTCCCAGCTCTTGAATCGCTAAGTGTCTCTCGGAGGCAACACGATTTGTATAAGCCCCGCCTCACCCCCGACAGGTTGGGCGTTGATTGGTTCCTCTGGGGCAGAGTGGCAGGCGGAGTTTCAGGTGGGGACCGGGCGGCCAGTGAGGCCCAGCTGCAGGAGCGCGCCCCGCCCGCCCGCGCTGACCTTCCCGGAGTCGTGAGGAGGGAGGAGGGCTGTAACCCCCTCAAGAGCCCCCCTCGAGGCTCAGACCCCGGGCCGAAGTCTGGGGTGAGAAGTGTCGACGATTGAAGTGGGTTCTCAAAAACAACCGCGCGGTTGCTATAGAAACGGGAGAGCCACAGCCTAGTCTCTAAGCCTTCCTTTGCTGGGCCCCAGCGGGGGTGGGGATGGAAGGCGGGATGAGTCAGAGTGTGTGCCCCCCTCCATATCCCACCCGAATTCGGAGGAAGGCGAAGAGCAGTGCAGAGAGCTGGGTAGGGGAGGGAGGAGACGGGATGGTCAGCAACCCCCGCCTTCGCATCACCCCTCCAACACGCTCACTCCCCTCACGCCTTGAAACGGAAGAGCAGGGTGGGCGGGCGCGGAGATCTCAGCTCGAATGGCGAAGCACCCAGCCTCTCCGGCTCCGCTCTAGTCATGGGCTCCGTAAACCCCTCATTCCAAGCCCTGCCCCGACAGCCGTCCTTATGACTCATGGAACCCCCAAAGACCTCTCGGGATCTCCCCCAAAAGGACCCCTCTGCCTCTCCTATAGACCCCTTCACTCCCCCACCCTCCCATCTTCCTGTCCCTAGTCGGAGCCGGTCCCCAGCTGCCGCCAGTCTCCGGCCTCGGATGTTGACACAAACCCGAGGCGGTTTACACTGAGCGGGTCTGGAAGGTTTCAGGGCCCCGGGAACACCTCCTCCTCTCACTTGAGGGTCTCCCCTAAGTTCGGCCGAGCCGCCCAGCGGCACTAGCAGCTGAGAACGCCGGACCCAGGGTGTGGGAAAGCTCTTTTAGTCCAAATTGGGGGCGAAAGGAGGAGCAGAGAGCCTCCCGCTGGGCCACGTGCAGGGAAGGGACATCTAGGCAGCTGTCAAAAATGGGGCGGGGCATCTGGGAGATTGGTCCAATGGGAGCGGGAATGCCGGAGAGCCGCGGAGAAAGAGGCGGGGCTTCTGCCGAAGGAGCGAAAGTTGAGGTGCTCTGGGCGTTAGCCGGGTAGAGGAGCTGCGGGCCAAGGGTGGAGACAAGCTTCTCTGGCTGGTCCCAGAAACTCGAGGTCCAGGCTCGCTGAAGAGCAGCCAGTGGGTCCCTCCCCTTACCTCCCCTCCCCCTCTCTGCCGGAACAGTCCCATTTCTCCTTGAATTCATTTTGCTGTTCCATTCTCCCGGATGCAGGCTATATCTTTTCTCTGGAGCCTGGGGCCCTAGCTGCAGCTCCATTAGCAGACAAATCCCTGGCCCCTTTGGTTGGTGACTCAAGAGGGACAGGTGTTTGAAAGCCCTGACTCTGTCACTTCCTGAGCACCTTCTCTACTCTGGGCCAGAAGTCATCCCTGCTCACGAAAACACCCCAAGACCTGAGGAAGTGGGGAGAGTCATTCCAGGATGCTGGAAGTGGCAGTGGAAATTCCATGGGTCCCTTCCTTGCCAATGACGCCACACATAACCCCGGGCAAGATCTTCCTCTCTCCGGGCTCCCAGCCTGTAAAATGTAGAAGACGTTGGTACAGGAGTCCCAGGGCAGCAAGGTGGAGAAAGGCTGTCACCCTGAACAGAAGTGTGTGGGCACGAATCCGACTGCTCCACTATACTTGTGAGCTTCTTAACAATAACATAACTGAGAATGTCCTTGAGTCAGGCATTATTGTAACACTTTATACGTATTACTTATTTATTTTCCTCTTAAGAGCCCTATGAAGCAGGTACTAAGAACTCTATTACTCCCATTTAACAGATAAGGAAATTGAGGCTCAAAGCAGTTGGCTAGCCCAAGTTCACATAGTTGATAAAGCTGCAGAGCTGGGGTTTGAGTCTAAGTAGTCTGGCTCCAACCAGTACATAATACTGCCTCTCTTTTAAGGTCTTTCGAGTCCTTGTGAGGAATGACCTTGGGTTGTAATATTCTTTCCGATACTCCAAGGCATTAGAAAGGCAAAACCCAGTCTCCTGGGAGCAGCTTCTCTGTCTCAGGCCAACAAGACATGGGATTCCAACGAGAGCAGTAGAGCTGGTAGCAGAGCACCAGGGTGTGCTTCTCCTGATGTCCCCTCCCTGGCCCTGGAATCTAGCATGTGATCCAGGAATCCCAGGTAAGCAGAGGAAGGAAAAGGCAAGGGGCAGTTGGTGAGGCAGGGTATACTGGTCTGGTTCTAGCTCTTTAAATCAGGCAGGATCACCCATGAATCTTTTCAGGGTCTGTGACTATTTCTGAACTGCCAATTGTAATCCATCTTCACCTGCTCGTAACACTTGAGACCCTGATCTTGATCCTGCCCCTGCTCTTTAGACTTGATGTTTACAACAATAGCAGCTGACCTTGACTGAGTGGCTTCACTATGTACCAGACTCTCTGCCAAGACCTTTATCTGCATCATCTCCATTCCAGAGATGACCACTGCCAAGGGCGATATTAAAAATATCTAACAACTCTTGCCCTGGCCGGGTGGCTCATTTAGTTGGAGCGTCATCCCGTGCACCAAAAGGTTTCAGGTTCTGTTACTGGTCAGGGCACATACCTAGGTTGTGGGTTCAGTCGCCAGCAGGGGCATGCAAGGGAGGCAGCCAATCAGTGTTTCTCTTCACCCACGCCATTTCCCTTCCTCTCTCTCTAAAATCAATAAACATATCCTTCAGTGAGGATTAAAAAATATGTACACCTGTCCTGGCTGGTGTAGCTCGGTGGATTGAACCCGGGCCTGCGAACCTGAGGATCGAGGTTCAATTCCCAGTCAGGGCACATGCCTGGGTTGCAGACTAGTTTCCAGCAGGGGACACATGGGAGGCAACCATAATTGATATTTCTCTCCCTCTCTCCTTCCCTTCCCCTCTAAAGATAAAAAATGAAATCTTTTAAAAAATATGTACATCTAACAATTCTCTTCAGCCATGAGCATTACCAACAGGACAGATGCCCGAAGCCCTGCTTTAGTGCTAGACAAGGATTTAGTAGGTTTCTGTTCTGCCAAGAGTGAACATGTTGGTTACTGGATCAAGGGGAACTAAGCTAGAGAGGTAGGGGCCCATGGACTACTGCTAACTATTTACCAGTCAATTTGGAAGGTATTTTTGATATTTTGACAACCAGTTCAGCTGTACAAGTGCATAGGGACTGAATTTCAGCCCTGGTATCATTACTTTATTTCATGGCAGTACACGGAAGCTCAGAGAGGTTTGACAACTTGCCTATTGTAACACAGCCAGTTAGCGACAAAGTTGGGATGGCAACCTGAACCTGACTCAAGAGCCCACACTCTTAACTGTGATGGACCTGCGTTCCTGAGAAGGGGCAGTGTCCAGAGCAGAGCTGGAGTTTCCACTTTTCTGCAGCTAATGGCTGAGCTGGAGTAATGCGTTTTAGGTTCTGGAGCTTTGTTGTGCCTTGTTGTTCTCAGGCTTGGAGCCTTGGCAACACTCGTTTCACGTTGCTGAAGGAACGAGCACTGCAGAGTGAGGTCAGAGCAAGCTTCACGGAAGAAGAAACAGCGTGGTTGTGTGGATGGCCCTAAAAAAGGGCAAGAAGGGAATTGAGCCCTGGGCAGGGTTTTCAGTGAGAGCAGAGGTCTGCAGTCAGTGGCCGCTTCAATTGGCTTCACCGAAGGGCTGGCATTCCTCCTCTCTTTGGTCACTAACAGTGTCTTTATGATGGATAATGCCTTCCTGACTCCCTCCCTGGGTTTCCTCAGCCTTGGCTAGTGCAGCCTGGTGACAGCCAGAATTCCCCTGGGTCCTAGATATTTCAGTCTTCTTTGTGTCTGGGAGACAGTGAAAGCACCAGCTTTGGTCTCCTTCTGTTTTTTTCTATTAGCTAAGCAGGATTTTTTCTTTTTTAAAGTATATTTTATTGATTATGCTATTACAATTGTCCCCCTTTTTTTCCTGCTCTTAATTCTCCACCCTGCACTGCCCTCCAACGAGAATTCCCCCTACCCTCCACCTTAGTTCATGTCCATAGGTCATAGATGTAAGTTCTTTGGCTTCTCCATTGCCTATACTATTCTTTTTTTTTTTAAGTACTTTTAATTTTATTGGTTATGCTATTACATTTGTTCTATTTCCTCCCCTCCATTCCCCTCCACCCTGCACACCCCTCCCCCACCATTCCCCTCCCTTTAGTTCATGACCACGTGTCTCAAGTTCTTTAGATTCTATATTTCCCCTACTATTCTTACCCTCCCCCCATCTGTTTTCTATCTACTGTCTATGCTACTTATTTTCTGTACCTTCTCCCCACTTCTCCTTCTCCCACTCCCCTGTTTCTAACCCTCCACATGATCTTCATTTCTATGTTTCCACTCCTGATCTAGCTGTCCTATTAATTTGCTTTTGTTTTAGGTGTGGTTGTTAATAACTGTGAGTTTGCTGTCCTTTCACTGTTTATCTTTTTTATCTTCTTTTTCTTAGGTAAGTCCCTTTAACATTTCATATAATAAGGGCTTGGTGATGATGAACTCCTTGAATTTGATCTTATCTGAGAAGCACTTTATCTGCCCTTCCATTCTAAATGAAAACTTTGCTGGATAGAGCAATCTTGGTTGTAGGTCTTTGGTTTTCATGACCTGGAATACTTCTTTCTAGCCCCTTCTTGCCTGTGAGGTCTCTTTTGAGAAATCCACTGTCTGTCTGATGGGAACTCCTTTGTAGGTGACTGTCCCCTTATCTCTTGCTGCTTCTAGGATTCTCTCCTTCATTTTAGTCTTGGGTAATGTAATTATGATGTGCCTTGGTGTGTTCCTTCTTGAGTCCAACTTCTTTGGGACTCTCTGAGTTTCCTGGATTTCCTG